TTATTACTTTTCTTTACATTTTTTATTGCTTTTTAGAAAGAGAGGAAGGAAGAGAGAGAAGTAACAATTTGAGAGCAAACATGGATGAGCTGCCCCCTGCATGCCCCCTACCAGGGATCAAGCCTGAAACCCAGGTGTGTGCCTGACCAAAAATTAAACTGGCAACCTTTCCATGCACAGGGCATGCCCAACCAACTGAGCCATACTGGCCAGGGCAACAGAATTTTATTTTTAAAGACTGGTGTTTAAATGTTTAAAATCGTTAGCTGGAAACAACATATGTCCTCAAATTTTTTAATATACCACATTTAACACTTGAGTCCACTGATACACTCACTTAAGTTACCAATGTAACTAGTTTTTGTGTGGAACTCAGAATAAAACTCTTCCATCATTTCTGATTAATTGAAGAAAGTCTTAAAATGGTAAGATTAAAAACTTATCACTTATCTTCATGACTCAGGATTTTCTTGATACCGTGAATCCAAAATCCACTTTGCTTTATGTAGAAATAGATACTGAGATTGCTGCTATTTGTCCCACAAAATGTTAATATATATTATCTGATTAAAGAAATTTAGGAAATGTTAACAAAGCTAAACAGATTTCATTATAATGTCTCATAAAGAGAGACTTTTTTAAAATTTCTGGTTCAGAAAATGTGAGGGCCTTCCCTCTTCAATTCACAGTGAGAAGCAGAACATTCTGAAAAAGGAGACTCTTAGATCCCGTTTACCATTTGTCAATTCCTTCACCAGAAATCCCATTGTAGCCTGTGAGGCCCAGATGTCAAAAATGGTGATGGAGGGAGACCCGATTTGAGTGGGGAACACTCAACGCAACTTACAGATAATGTACGTAAAACTGTACACCTGAAACCTCTATCATTTTATTAACAATGTCACCCCAATAAACTCAATAAGTTTTTTAAAAAGGCCAATCACAAGTAAATCCAGTTTTAAAATAGCAGCCCTTTGAATCATATGTATGCATGCATTCATTCATTCATGCATGCATTCATTCATTCATGCATGCATTCATGCATTCAGGGAACATTTACTGAGACGCTACTGTATGCCAGGCCTTGGGGGATATAATAGGAAGCAAGAGCCCATAAAAGTCTCTCTAAACTCAAAGATCTCAGTCTATTAGGGGATTAAAATTAGGTAACCAGCACTTATTTATAATTTAGAGTGATATACATAAGCTTTTATCACAACAGTGTTAGAATCTATACCCTTCTTATAAAAGTAAATAAATTGAAAAGTGTCATTTTTAAAAAACCATATCCAAATTCTTTTCCCAACACCTGTTTGCTTGGTTCTTATAGTGGGTTGTCTAAATAAGGTCTTTCTGAAAGTGAAAAGGAGTGCTACTAATAATTTTGCTGGATTAAGGGCTGCCCAGGTCAAACTGGGATGCATGGTTCCCTTATTCCCAAAAAACACTATTCTGAACTGTGATTATAAAAAAGTGCAAGAGAACAGATTATGTTCGTGATCTGAAGTAGGCTGATGAAATCCACATCAACTTATTTTTCCTTCGAGCCACAACTTGCATGAGCACATTCTGATATGCAGAAAAGGGAAAAAGCTTCTCTCCTGAATGCTTTGCTTATAATAGGATTAGAGTTTACCTTTTTCTGACTTGCCATGTCTTTGGATTTCTGCAAGGTACCACAAAACCACATATGAAAGAACCTTAAGTCAAGAAGGTTCAACAAAACTCCAACAGTAGCCTACAGAATGCAGCAGGGACCTGTCTGTAGGTTCCTAGTCCCATATTAAGGTAGTAAGAAGTGGGCTGGCACACTGGCACCTCCACAGTTCTCAAATTAGTATTAATATTTTTTGAAATATCTAAAAGAAAGATAACTCAGGATTTAGTAACAAGAAACTGTTTACATTGTTGGCAACAGAAACAGCAGCTAAGAAACCATTTTTATTTCATGATCATTTAGCAGGGAACTGTGGTCCCTCTGAGGAAGGAAATGCATGGCTGGGGTTGGAAATGCATGCCTAGCACTAAAAAATCTGAGGAGCAAATAACCTTTATGATATAAGGAAGACCGAAAGTTCTGCATTGAGGTTAAAACCTAGGAGGAGAAAGAGTTTACTTGGCTTTTCTTCGAGAGAGAGAGAGAGAGAGTGTGTGTGTGTGTGTGTGTGTGAGAGAAAGAGAGAGAGAGAGAGAGAGAGAGAGAGAGAGTCTACAGGCACTAGAGTAGGTGTGCTGTGGAATCAAAATAAAGGGCTGAATGTATCAAGTTTTCAAATTATTATCTGCATAAGAAATCAGATACTACTAGTCATTCAAAGTAATAGGTTCAGAGTAATAGGTCAGGCTGACTGCATAAGAATCACTTTTAAAACTTCAGGTTCCTGGACCCTACTCCAAGATTTGATTAGATAGATCTGCAGTCAGGGTTAGGAACCAAAGACCATAAATTACTACAAAAACTCCTTTCCATTTCTTAAGCCCTTTAACTTCACTACAATTGTTGTTTTACCAGATATGTTTCCCTGAAATGATAAAAAGCACTTTTGATGTTGTCTTCAAAAAACTAGGGAAAATGTATCCCATTCTGAAGTCAGTTTCAGAGACAGAGGAGGACACTAAGCAGTTAGGGTAGATTAGGTATCAAGTTAGGAGAGGAAAGTACTTTGAATTACTGGGGAAAAACCCTAGAGTGCCCTGGTTAGGGGTTTGGTGATAGTAACCCCTGCTTGGGTCATGACTCTGGATATCACAGTACCATTATCTTCTGTTTTGTACCTCCTCTTTGTCTATATTGTCCCCACCTAGTCTGAGGCAGGGACACTGGGGGGAAAAAGGGAGCACTATATCAGAGAAGGGTAACTTAAAATTAATTATGTCTGTTTTCTAAAAATGTGTGCTGCCCTTTTAAGATCATTTCAAAATCTGCTGCTAATTGCTGAAGACTTTATCTTTTCAGTTTTCTCAGGCTAAGGTTTATTTCATCAGATAGATCATATTTGTTTGTGGGGAGCCGGCGGGACTCCCCCTGGGGAGGGCCCGCCGGGCGAGGTGCTGCCCCAGGGTGAACACCCGGGGTGGCCCGTATGCCCTAGTGTCACCAAGAGAGGAATCTCTGGGGCATTGACCCGAGTGGTGGGCAGCGGTGCTAGCACTCGCCCTGCTCCCCCCGCTCCCCCTCCTTAAGGACTTGGCTAAGCTTAAGATTTACTGTGCATACATGAGGAAATACCTTTGTATAGGAGGCTTAGCAGAGGTCAAAAGGGCAGAACGTCCTAGTTAACTAGACAAAGAGTTAGGTGGGGAACATACCTGGGACAAAGGTTACTGATTAAACCGCTGCCTTACTGAATGCGCTATAATTACAAGCTGAAAAATAAACTCGGGGCTCAGTCACGTACTGCAGCCCTCCCGATCCCATCCTGTCTCTTGTCTTTCTTTTCCAATCCTCACCCCCTCAATCAGGTTACTGCTCGACTGCCGGCAGGCTCCGGCATTTGTTTACACTAATAAGCAAAGATTTATTTTAGTATGTTTCTAGAAAATATGGAAAACTAACCAAATCATGCCTGCAGGAAGGAAAAAATACTATTTTCCCCCTTTTACATGACATTAAAAAAAAATCTACCCAAAGTAAGTACAGCATATATTCAGAGAAAGAAATTGTAAGCAGAGGGTATCATTTCTTAAATTCCCCTAAATCAACAGTGGTTAAAAATCGCATGCTGTAAACAAACAGAAAATAACAAGTGTTGGTGAGGGCATGGACAAACTAGAAACCTTGTACATTGCTGGTGGGAATGTAAAACGGTTTAGGTGCTGCAGAAAACAGTTTGGCTGTTCCACAGAAAGTTATATATAATTACTATATGACATAACAATTCCACTGCTAGGTATATACCCAAAGTAATTAAAAACATATACCCAACAAATACACGTATTCATGTCTTCACAGCAATAGCCAAAAAGTGGCAACAACCCAAGTGTTCATCAAAGGATAAGTGAATAAATGAACTGTGGTGTGTATGTATGCAATGGGACATAAGTCAGCCGTAAGAAGGAATGGAATACTGACAGATATCACATGTGGATGATCCTTGAAAGCAGTGTGCTAAGAGAAAGATGCCGGACACAAAAGGCTACATAGGGTGGGGCAAAAGTAGGTTTACAGTTGTTTGTATGGAAAATAATATAATAAATAATACAAGAATAAATTTTCATGTATTCACAACTGTAAATCCACTTTTGCCCCACCCTGTATACTGTATGATTCCATTTTATGATACATTCAGAATAGGAAAATCCCTACAGACAGAAAGCAGACTGGTAGACCCCAGGGACTGGGGGGACTGGAGGATGGAGGGTAACTGCTGAATGGGTAGGGGTTTCTTTTTGGGGTGATGAAAGTGTTTGGGACATCAGAGAAGTGGTGGCTGTACAACATTGTGAATGTAGTAAATGCCACTGACTTGTTCACTTTAAAAAGAGGACATGTGGCCTGGCTGGATGTGGCTCAGCAGTTGAGCATCGACCTAGAATCCAGGAGATCACAGTTCCACTCCTGGTCAGGGCACATGCCGGGTTTTGGGCTCGATCCCCAGTCGGGGGCGAGCAGTAGGCAGCTGATCAATGACTCTCTCATCATTGATGTTTCTATCTCTCTCTCCCTTCCTCACTCTGAAATCAATAAAGATATATATTTAAAAAATAAAAATAAAAAACAAATAAAAAGGGGACATCTGTAATACTTTCAACAATAAAGATAAATTTTTAAAAATAATAATAAAATAAATAAAACTCAAAAAAATAAAATGGCTATTTGAATGTTATGTGAATTTCACCTGAATGAAAAAGAAGAGAAAAAAAAAAAAAAAGGGACGTGAGGGGCAGGGCATCTGGAAGTTCCAGAAATGGAGACAGAGAGGGTGGGGATGACAGAAGNAAGAGCAAAAAAAAAAAAAAGGAGTGCTTCCCAGTAGGTTTGGGTGTGGGTCTGCACATACCTGGAAGACAAGGTTGACACTGCTCAGGTAACAAGTTTGGCTCTGAAGGGATGAGTACTTCTTCAGAAACATACTTTAAAAGTTCCTTCCCCAGATACGTTACCTGTGTATAATTAAGCAAAGCATTTAAAAACCATACACTTTTATGAGGAACAAATTGCAACTTTGGTAAAGTATACTATTATATATTATGGATTGGTAAACTACAGCCCACAGCCTAATCCAAGCTGCCAAATCCTTCTTTTGTAAATAAAGTTTTATTAGAGTACAGTGACACCCATTTGTTTACTTAACATCTATGGTTGCTTTTGTGCTACAACAGGATCAAGTAGTTGCAACAGAGACTATATGCCCATGAAGACTAAAACATTTATTATTTGGCCCTTCACAGAAACAATTTGTTGACCCCTACTGTATATCATTAATTCTCTTATCCATTCACTTATTCACCAACCACTTACTCAGCACTTGATACTTTATAACTTTGAAAAATTATGTTGCATTAATAAAGCCACAAAACTAATGGCACTTTTCAAGAAATCAGATGCTTAACTCATTAGATTAATAACAATTGGGTCTATACGTCCAAGTTTTTTGTTTTGGTTTGCTTGTGAACTTAGCTATTGTTTATCAGCCCAAAAGATCAGAGCTTAGAAATATCTACAGTGAATGAGCTGGGCTGAGGCTGATTGGCAAACACCTGCCAGGAATGTTCTGGGCCTGAGTGTCTTTGGGTTCTCCACTCTTACTTCTAGGGCAGTATAATAATATACCCCCAGAAGCTAGGTTCGTTGTGGTTAAACCATCAAGTCTCACCTTGAACATCCCTTCCTCCAAGATGTCGTCCTATATCCTTTAAGCTCAGGTAATGACTCTCCCCTAGCGTCCCATAACTTCTGTGTTCATATTTCTGTCAAGGTACTTATCACATTTAAATGAAATTATGTGTTAATGTATGTTTCCATTAAACTATAAGCTCCTTGAAGGCAGAATCTGTATCGTATTCATTTTTATACTCTAGCACTTCACATAGTCCCTGACAATACTGGAGAAAAAACTCTGAAGTCCCAGCTCTTAAGCAAGATTTTTTTTTTTTTAAAATATATCTTTATTGATTTCAGAGAGAGGAAAGGAGAGGGAGAGATAGAAACATCAATGATGAGTCATTGATCAAGCCCACAACCTGGGCATGTGCCCTGACCGGGAATCGAACCCCGATCGCCTGGATCCCAGGTCGACGCTCAACCGCTGAGCCACGCCCAGCCGGGCTTAAGCAAGATTTTAAAATTTGGAGTCTAAATTTGTACGTTTGTAAAACGAGCGCCTCCAGCTTATTAAGTTGTTGTGAGGATCAAAAGAGATCACATATGAAAATCATTTGGCATACTCTCTAGCACATCCTCAATAAATGTTATTGAACAGAGTGAGGAGGCCCAGGGGATCTGGAAGGGTTAGGCGCTCTGGGCTCAATCCATGACTAAATGAAGCCTGGTAACAGAAATGAAACAGACCTGGCCTACCCAGTGTGCTATGCCCTCATTTGCCATGGAAGAAGGGGTGAGGCCCCTGAATATCATCTGTCAGTTCTCCAAACAACTATCAATTAGAAACAATGGATTTTTTCATGTTGTGCCCTGACGATATCCAATACACCCTATACGCTCATCAATGGGCAGGCTCAGTATGTTTCCACCTATATCTCAGATTTAAAGTACATTTTTATCAGTTGGTGCTGGGTAATATTATAATAAAATTGTAACCTAGCAGCCTTAGAGATCTTAAACATACCACTGGGGTAATCCAGACATACAAAGAACACAGCTTTAAGAAAATCCACTGAACTCTGAGGATGACATGGTTGCAGCAGCAGCGGAGCTCCATCCTGCCTGCTCCTGCTCCTGACTCACTGCTGTTTGCTCTCACTCTCACTGCCAAGGAACAAGTTGGTTAGGAAGCTGCTGCAGCCATGGCTTTTAAAGGTACCAGAAAGACCCATGGAACCAAGGGTGGCAATTCACGGGAATTACTCTAACCCCCCACAACATAAAGTCTTTGGAGAAGGTATGTGCTGATTTGATCAGAGGCACAAAGGAAAAAATCTCAAAGTGAAGGACCAGTTTGGAAGACTGTGAGAATCACTACAAGAAAAACTCTCTGTAGGGAGGGTTCTAAGCCTTGGGATTGGTTTCAGATGAGGATCCACAAGTGCCTCATTGACTTGCACAGCTCTTCTGAGACTATTAGGCAGATTACTTCCATCAGTATTGAGCCAGGAGTCAAGACTCAAAAAGGTTTAGTCAACCTTTTAAATAAATAGACTATCAGTTGTTAACAAACTCCACTGAGTTAAAAATCTATTTTCCACAAGATAGGAGCGACTTATTGAAAAGGATAGTAATAAATAGATCTCTACATGAACAGGTACTAGGTCACTTCTGGACACTGTCCATTTCATAATAGTGCCTGTGCTCCAGTTGGCTAAAGCATAGGGTGCCATTTTGAGCACTGACTCAAGGAGCACTTTCTAAAAAACTTTCTCCCACCACCATGATTAGGAGTATCAAGATACAGAAAAGTTGAGGTAGGAATATAGAAAGCGATGGAAATTGTTGATCTGGACAGACTAGCCTCAGTCAGTTAATTGCACTCCCAATGTGTCATAACTTAAACCTCCTGTGAATCCACCTTCTACTCAGGAGATGTTGGAGGTGTGGGCCCTTTTAAAGTGTGTAGGGTGAGGGGGAAACCATAGAGAAAGTCAATACTACATCCAAAGGAGTAAATTTATAAAGGAAAATTTTCAGACAGGGAAGCATTGTGATGAGAAGTGTGTCTGCACAAAAGATCTGTCAGTGCTCTTTGAGTCAATGCTCAAAATGGCAGTCTACTTCTTATCTGCATAAATCTAGTCCTGAGCATTCACAAAAATGAACTGTCATTCTTCTGCAATTGTATTACAGAAAGGCATTTTTCCTGTGGAAGTGGGCAATTTTTGCTGCACAAGAATAAGGCTTTGCAGAAATTCATAAAGGCAGCTGAATGATTCTGAGTTCAAGGCAACCTGTTTCCAGTGAAAGGAAGTGGGAGCATCCTTTGGGATTGCTGTAAATGTAGAAACAGTGCATAGGGAAGCAGAAGATCAGGCTGTAGTCTTGGTTCTGGCACTTATTGGCCGTGAGGCTAACCAAGTCAATCACTGGCAACCCTGTTTTCATATCCATGAATAAAGATTATAATTGACCTTCTGACTTCTTGGGGGTTTTGTGAAAGAATATACGTAAAAATGTTTTATAAACCACACAGTGCTATGCAAGTCCTAGCATGTCCAAGTTGGAAGGGTCTTTAGAGACCATTTAGCACTATTACTTTGCACATAAAAAAACAGGTTCAGAAAGGTTAAAGGAATTAACCTAGATCAGTGATTCTCACTCCAGGCTGCACATTAGAATTACCTGGAAAGTTTTTTTAAAATATTATCACCTGTTCTTTAACCCAGGCTATTAGATCAGAAGCTATGGGGCTGGAGTCCACTAGGCACTGGTATATTTAAAAGCACCCCACGTGATTCTAATGTGTAGGCAGGATTGAAAACTGTTGCTCACATCATATTACTTATCAAGAGTGGTATCAGGAACAAGCATGGTCTCCTGTCTCCACAGAGAGATCACTCTGCCACATCAGGATGATGCCTAACAGCCAGAGACTGTCAGTGACAGCAAACAGTGATGCCCAATGGGAATAAGCATCAGGATTCCCTTGGCAAGGCCTAGCTGCTTGGGTAGGAAGTATGAGTCATCTCTGTGCCTAGTGGCTCTGACATTCTGTCTGATGCAGTACAAGGCCTAGTTTTTTGGCATTTCTTGTCTGACAACCAGCCATTCTGGTCCCATAGCCCCACCAACATTCTTAAAACTAGTCAGTTGAAATGCTCACATTTACCAATGTTACAAAAGCTCCTTTCTTTCATCAAGAAATGACTATGAATTCAGGAATTTCTCCAAAACAAGAGGAGGCAGAGTTTCTGTGGTAAAAACATTTTTTTTTAATCCTCACCTGAGGATTTTTCTTTTTCTCCATTGGTTTTCAGAGAGAGTGGAAGGGAAGGAGGGAGGAGAGAGAGAAAAACATCTATGTGAGAGAGACACATCCTCGTGCATGCGTGGATCAAACCTGCAAATGAGTTATGAGCTGTGCCCAAGGGAACTGAACCCATGACCCTTTGATCTTTGGGCTAACACTAATCACTCAACCAAAGTGGTCAGGGCTCTTAGGTAAATTTTAAAAGAGGCTTTTAAATATTGTAAATTCTTTATTTTAATAAAGAAACTCACTGGGGTAGTGTTTCTCAGCCCGGAGTATTTACTAGAAGCACATACATGACTTACAGAAATTTTTATAATGGTTCCTGTTTTTAGGATAATTTAAAAAATATATAATAATCTTCTATCCAAGATTTGCCCTAACACTGGTGCCGTCATTTGCATTTGGCCTCACTGTCACACTGGCATTAAGCAATGTAACCCTAATTGACATGGCTGATGAGAAAAGGTCAGATGCAATGTGACATGCAAATGAGGTACAAGAGCAGGGGCTAAATGACGTCACAGCTGGTGATTCGAAAGCAAGAAATGCAGTCGTCCAGCAGAGAGAGAGTGGGAGACCTGAGTCACCAGTAGGCACACCTTAACAGAGGCATGTCAAGCTCAAAAGGACCTCAGCTACAGCAATCAGCACCATACTTATACTGTGAGCATAGATTCAGTTTCAGCAAAACAATATAATCTATCATAAGTTTAACAAACTTTGTAAAAAGGAATTTCCATAGGTTAAGTGTTAATTACTAATATGCAAATATGATTTATGAATCCATGGAAAGGACTGGGCAGGGTGAATTGAAACCAGATGGCCGCTGACTCCAGGGGTTAGAAAGAAAAGAAAAAAAGTTTAGGAGGTGGGGAAAAAAGGACAGAGAAACTATAAAGCAGAGAAAATTCAAAATGTGCTGATATAAATGAAGGAATTGAAAGAGTGCTGGAAGCACCTGCCACAAAGGTCTAGGAGACCAGAATGCAGAGTTTAGGGACACAGACCAAGAGCAGGGGTTAGGAGAAAGGGTAGACAGAGCTTGGACAAAAAGAGAGAGGAAATGGGGCCGCTTATTTGTGCTGGGCTGAGGCTTGCTGTAATAGTAAGTGGAGGCTGAGGCATCTGCAATTCTGTGAAACAGGGATGGTGGATGTCCCATTATTCACCCTTTCCTGGGTGAATCATTACAAGGCTGTTCCCTTAAGTGGTGCCATAGACATCTGGAGGTGGCTGATCACTGGATCTCAAGGGTGTCAGTCGTTAATAGTCTTCAAATTGGTGGTCAGACTGGGCTTATAAATCAGAAGACAGAACTGAGGGGAAGGCTACTAAGTCTGGGAGGTCTAAATGAAAAGAAATCTCTCTTTTTGGGGGGCTATCAATTCACAAATAAGACTATGTTCAAACATAAAGGTGCACCATAACTTCTGTGGGTCTTAGGCCCCTTAGGCTCAGTGCTCTGTCTTTGGGAGAAGTTTCTGTCAGAATACTGTTAACATTAATAAATTATTAATACACCAGTGGTTTCAAAATTTTCTACATGGAATCACAAAGACCTGAAATCACTTGAGGTCAAGAAAATTAGGGGCATTCAAATTTCTGAGACTAAGTGAGGTACAAGGAAGGTGAGGCTCAGTCAGCTGTGCAACCTTGCCCCTGGGGAATTCTGGCAAATAGAAGTTGTGGAAGAAAGCAAGTAGCATATTGCAGATGGGACACATGGGGACAAAAATGAGCTTGGAGAACTTTTAGATTTCTTTAAAAAAAAGTAAGTAGTTTTATCATTAAAAAATGTACTTTTCCATTTGAGTTTGAAGTTAACGACATTAAGAACAACCCACCTTACTCCAAGCATAATTCCAGGTTACATGACTGTCGCCTCCTAGAAGATCCTTGAGCCAGGTGACTGGATTTTGATAAATCTGACCATTTTCTACCTTAATTTTACCACTCAACAAAACACTGGCTTTGTGGGTAGTCTCCTGAAGAAAAAAAAAGTTAATATTAAAAAGCAGATGAAATATGTGAACTTCTGCTTCTGGCATGCTGAAGTAACAGGGAACAGATTTACCCTAACACCTGACACAACCATAAAACAGACAAAATATGTGAAACAATGGTTTTATAATCCTCAAATAGGAAAACAAGACCCAATAAAAATGGACAAAATATTTGAACAGACACTTCAGCAAAGAATAAATATGACGGCAAATAGCACATAAAAAGATGCTCACCATAATTAATCATTAAGAAATGCAAATTAAAACCACAACATACATACTAGTACATATATATATACACATCTACACTACATGTTAGCATGGCTAAAGTTAAAAGGCTGATCATACTAAGTATTGGCTAAGTAAGGATGTAAAGGAACTATAACTCTAATACATAGCTGATGGGAACGTAAAATGTTACAAATAACTTTGTCAGTTTCTTAAAAAGTTAACTATACACTTACCATATATATAATTCAGCCACTCCACTCTTAAGTATTTACCCAGGAAAAATGAAAACCTATGTCATATCAAAACTGTATTATCAATGTTTATAATAGCCAACAACTGGAACCAATCTAAATGTCTACCAAAGATGAATTGATAAACTGTAGAATATATATATAATGAACTACTCTTCAGCAAAAAAATCCCTACTGATACATGATACAATAAGGACGAATCTCAAATAATTATGCTCAGAGAAAGAAGCCAGACAAAAATAAATACATATGGTATAATTCCAATTATAAAGAACTTTTGGGAATGCAAACTAACATATAGGGACAAAAAGCAGACCAGTAATTGTCTAAAGAATGGCACTGGAAGGGAGCAGATGAAGGAGGTGAAAAAAACGACACAAAGAAATTTGGGGGGTTGGTGGGTATGTCCATTATCTTGTTTGTGGACATGGCTTCACAGGTGTATATATATGTTAAAACTTGTCAAATTGTATACTCTAAATATGTGTAATGTATTGCATGTCAATTACATCTTAATAAAGTTATTAAAGAAAAATAGATAAAATACGAAAAGTTGTATTAAAATTTTGTTATAGCTGATCCAGAGAAGTAACCACACTGTCAAAATATGAGTTACTGTAACTAATTTACTAAGTAAAATTTGATTTGCTTTGGCTAATCCAAGGTAAGTATTGCTTAGCAATAAATTGGTTGACAGGCAAGCAAACAGGAACATCAAGGAATCTGAGATCAAGCTACTAATTTGGTCTTTAAATTATAGTTTAGAGCTTTAAAATCAATTTTTTTTGCTCCTAAGTTATAAGTAAAGCTTACTAACTAGGAAAAGCTTAATTACCCAGAAATGGAAGGGGCTGGAAACACAGGTCATTCAGATTAAACTCCAGTTGGATGGTCCATTAGCAAGGACGCACTCCAGGACTCTGAATCTTTGTCACTTTAAAGTCCTCTTTCAAAAAGTGAATGTGGGGAAGGAGGAAAGGAAGCCTCTTCTCTCAGCATTTCTAGCAGAACCTTTTTTCCCCCTTCTCTACTTTTATGCATATATGATATTGTTTTAACTGAGTCAGATTTATGCAAATTCCAAGTTACTTTTTGTTTGTAAAAACAAACTGAGCTTCTATGGAAGATGAATTTATACTTATCTCTTATTAGGGGAAGCTTAGCAGTACACTGGTAGTTTCCAAATCTTTGTAATCAAAGCCAGTTCCAACTTACTATTTTTATGTTGTTCCTCAATCCTTCCTGGTACAATATAATTTGGGTCTGATAGATGAAAGGTGTTTGTGAATAAAATGTGCGGGGCAATTCTAGAAGCATGATTTCACTTGCTAAGAATACAATGGTTGTGGTCCCTTCATTCAAGAAGCCCAGTAAACCCCATTTCACTAATTGGAGGTAAATGCCTACACTATGTAATAGCAACATTTATTCACTTAATCAATTTCAATGATTTTAGAGAAAAAAATAAGATACCTGTGTTTTAAATTCCAAAATGTTATTTCCTGGGTTAATTCTTCCTAGTACTATCAGATCCTTTATCTGCACACATTTCTTTTTAGGAACCATGCTATAGCTTAAAGGCTTTTTTGTGGTATGCTGCCGGTCAGACCCAGAGGAGGAGGTGCTCTGACTGTCATTTGCATGTCGGAAAGCAAAAACTGATTTTTTAAGATATGGTTTCATCTGATGCCCCATATCACGACCTAAGTCTTCAGTATCTTGATGTGTCAGGCTTTCTGATGCCCCCCTAGGTGGTTGCTGGGAAGTTCTTTTTCTGTTTCCTCTTTTTGGAGCACAACTGGAAAGAGCCTGACCACAAATAACAGTTGATGGATGGGCATCATTTGGGGCAAGTACACTTGCGGTTTCTGAAGTATTTAATGTGCCAGTTAGTGCTGAAGGATCTGTAAGATCATTTTCTTTTTGTGAATATTCTGTTTGAGCAATAAAAGCAACAGGTTGGGATGGTAATTTAATCTTCTTAGTGCCATATGAAGGTCTGGATTTTGATAACCCATCCAAGTTACAGTCATTGACATTTTGTCTAGAATTCAGCTCATTTCCAGAAAATTCTTCCCTTCTCACTGTATCTGAATTTAGACAAGCATTGGTGTTTTGGCTGTCATTCCACATTTCCAGAGACAACTGTGTTTCCTGTATGCTTCCACAAACAGGGCTGACGGGAGAAAATGAGCCTGATTGGGACTGCACTAAATTTTCCAGGCTGGTAAGCTCTTGGTTGTCCTTTTCACAAAAGATCTCTGAGCTAGATGGCAGTTTCCTCAAACTAACACCAGGCACAGATGTAACATTCTTATAGTTTTGAATTTTCTGGCTTATTTTTTTCTGTTTTTTTGCCACAACTAAAAGGCTCTTCTGTCTTGCAGCCAAGTTAGCCAGTTGTTCCCTCAGGACACCATGCCTGAATGATTCTATGGACACCCTATAGTAAGAAAAAAAAAGAGACAACAAATACAAACAGAGTAGAAAACTTTTTTTGAACAGTCACTTGTATTTTAAAGGTATTTTGTGTCAATTTAAATTTGACCACCTCAAAGTACATAGAGTCTGTCTTTGCAATGTATTTCCTTTGAGAGGAAACTGACTCTTAAGGAGAGTTTGCCTTTTTAAGGAGGTGACAACAGTGTGGTTATTCACATTTGCATCCACATTTACATTCATATCACTTAGCAGTTGTGAGTCAACCCTAAATGAAAAACAAAACTTGGGTAGTCTATCTGGATATCTACTAGTCCTTTACTTGGAAACTAGCAATTGGTGGCCAAGGAGGAACACCATTCTTTAGGTTTGAAGTTTGCTTCCCTGTTTACAGTGGAAAGGTATATAAAAAAGTAAAATTTGGGAGTAAGTTCCACTCAAGTTCCCTTAACTATAGAGGAGTAAGATTGTTTTGTGAATAATTATACCTGATCTAGATCTGAGAAATTCAGTTCAACAAGTAATTACTATAATTGTACTTTGAACCTATACTGAACATTTTCAAGTCCAGAGGGACTACTCAATAAGCATTTTCCTGTGTGCCTTCCTCTAACCAAATCTCTCAGTGGGAGGAAGTGACTCATTCACACCTCTGTCTTTTGGTTATAACCACCTATTCCATAGTTATCTTCAGGATATCTTCTGACACCCTGTTTCCAGCGGTTCTCAAATCTTTTGCTCTCAGAACTTTTTTATACTCTTAAAAAAGTTATTGAGAAACCCAAAGAGCTTTTGTTTATATGGGTTGTATCTATCAATATTTACTATTTTAGAAAATAAAACTGAAAAAATTTAAAAATACTCAAGCACACATTCCATTAGCTATTAGAGTGATGATATTATCACACACCATGTGGCCTCAAGAAAATTCCACTGTATACTCATGAAAGAATGAGAGCAAAAAAGGGCAAATATTGCCTTAGTATTGTTTTTTTTAAAATTTTTTTATTGATTTCAGAGAGAGGAAGGGAAAGGGAGAGAGAGAGAGATAGAAACATCAATGATGAGGGAGTGATTGATTGGCTGCCTCCTGCACGCCCCCTACTGGGGATGAAGCCCGAAATCTGGGCATGTGCCCTGACTGGGAATCGAACCGTGATCTCCAGGTTCAAGGGTTGATGCTCAACCACTGAGCAACACTGGCCAGGTAATATCTTAGTATTCTTATAAAAGCAGTTTTGACTTCAAAGAGCTCTGGGAAATAGAAAAGCAGTAATATAGATATCTGTTTCTTCTATCACAGTTTAGAGTTGTTGGTACTGAACTCCAAGTAGACTGAGTATTAAAATAGATGTAAGTGGAGAAGCAGCAAGAAGAAATCAGATTAACAACTGGTAGCATAAAATGCAAGAAAATAAATAAAAAATAAAAAATAAATTAACAGTTATCACATTTAAAACTGAAAAACAGGCTCTGGTCAAGATGGCAGTGTAGGTAAACACAGTACTTTAATCCTCCTACAACCACATGAAAAATACAACTAATCTTCAGAACAACCATCATTCAGAACTGCCTGAAAGCTAGCTGAATGGAAGTCCTACAACCAGGGAATTAAATAAAAAGCCACATCGAGACTGGTAGGAGGGGCAGAGGTACAGAACAGGCTGGTCCCACATTCACATGTGGGGGTTTTTAATTGGGAGGGATATCTTGGCTGCGGAGGTCCCCTTGAGGAGTGAGGGGTACCAGCCTCACATTAGACCTCTCAGCTCAGTGTTCTAGTGCTGGGAAGAGAAGTCCCCATAATTTCGGGCTGTAAAAACCAGCAGGGATTGTGGCTGAGTGACACAGAGGCTGCCTGAGTCCCAGGCAGTTCCTCTAAAAGGGCCCATGCAGCCCTGGCTGATGTGGCTCAGTGGTTAGCATTGTGGCCTGTGCACCAAAGGGTCGCAGGTTCAATTCCTGGTCAGGGGCATATATCTGGATTGCAGGTTCACTTGCCCCTGGTTGGAGTACATGCAGGAGGCAACCAATTGATGTTTCTCTCTCACATCAATGTCTCTCTCTCTCTCTGCCCCACCTCCCTTCCACTCTCTCTCTGAAAAGCAATGGAAAAATATCCTTTGGTGAGGATTAACCAAAAAATTAAATAAATAAAAATAAAGGGCCCGCGCATGGACTTATTCAGACTCACTCCCTCTGAGCTCCAGTTTTGGGGCTGCAGCTTGAAAGGAACTAGGAACATACAGGGAAGAACTAAATTGCTTGGCATCAGGGCAAGAGCTAGGGAGCAGCTTTCACCTAGACTAAAGTGCTGGCAGAGGCTTCTGTTCCTTTGCTGAGCCCTTCCCCCAACAGAGTCAACAGGTGGGCGCCATATTTGAGTCTCCATCTACCTGGCTCATATTTTTCACCCCATCCTGGTAATTACCTGAGACCCTGCACCAACTTAGGGGCTCATCCAAGCCGTTTCCAGTGGCTTTTCTATACAACTGGCCTCTCCAGCCTCATGCTTCAGACTTTCCTAAAATCTCTCAAACAAGCAGCAGCTGGCCTCAGCGTGCCCCATACCTCTCGTTAAGTGGCCCCAGGCCCAGCACTAGTGGCAGCCAGCGTTGGTTCACAGCTTGGCCTCACCTAGGCACCTCCAAGCCCAGCCACCTGCAGGTCACTCTGTAGTTCATGCTGGGTGGCCATCTGCAGATCACTCTGTAGCTCATGTTGGGTGGCCCCAGGCAGGGCATAGGCAGTGGCTGACTTTGCACCTCCCGGGAGGCCCCAGAGCCAGTCACCCAGTGGACAGCTTCAGACCATGCTGGATTACAAGCCTACCACTTCCATAAGGGACACACTCAATGGGTGGACTCAGTGAGCACCAGAGCCCCACTGAAGCAAGTCCTGTTCCATAGGGTCACTCCTACATACCAGCTCTGCTGCTGTAGTTGCAGCTGGTCCTCACAGCTGATTGGCCTGGGGGTCAATCCCTCCCAATGACACCAACAACAATCAAGGCTCAACTACAACAGGACAGTGCACACAGCCCACACAGGTGCACCTGGAGCGCCCAGCTCAGGTCACTGGGCAGACTGCAGCACTGGGCAATACACAACACCTACTACATAAGGCCACTCTACCAAGTCTGCGTGAAACAGCAGCTCTACCTAATACACAGGAACAAACACAGGGAAGCAGCCAAACTGCAGAGACAAAGAAACATGTCACAAAGGAAAGAACAGGAGAAACTGCCAGAAAAAAACCTAAACGAAATGAAAGCAAGCTAACTACCAGATAGAGTTCAAAACAATGGTTATAAGGATGCTCAAGGAACTTAGTGAGAACTTCAAGAAATTTAGTAAAAATGTCAACAGCATGAAAAAGGACATAGGAACCATAAAAAAGAACCAGTCAGAAATGAAGGATACACTAAAAAACAACAAAAAACAACAATTAAATGGCAATAAATACACATCTATCAGCAACTGAATCTAAAAATCAAAATAAACAAACATAACAGAAACAGACTCATAGATACAGAGAACATTTTGGCGGTTGCCAGATGGGAGGGGAATTGGGGGGATGGGTGAAAAAGGTGAAGAGGCTTAGAAGTACAAATTAGTAGTTATAGTATAGTTATGGGGGTATAAAGTACAGCATAGGAAATATAGTGAATAATATTGTAATAATTATGTATGGTGTCAGATAGGTATGAGAGTTTTGGGGATGATCACTTAGTAAGTTTTATAATGTCTAATCACTGGGGTGTACACCTGAAACTAATATAATATTGTATGTCAACTGTAATTGAAAAATTAAAAATTATAAAAATTAAAAATAAATTTTAAAATTACTAAAACTATATGAAACAAAAAGTTCAGACAGAATATAAAAGAGCTCTTTGGTTTGCAAGATTATAAGTCTTACTGCAATATTAATAAGGAATTACACTTGAAACTCTAGCTGATCAGGAACTTGTGAAAATTCTAGGTATCTTATTAATCAAAGGACATAAAGAAAAATTGAAGCTAGCCTTTTCCAAAGTCCCCTAGAGAATATACTTTAGTCAGGTACCCTCTGCAGGTCTTCTAAGCACATGGGCTTTATAGAAAGGAATTCATGATACTTATTCACTAGAGAGAAAAGCAAAATGGGGATAAAGATAGTAGCTTTATAAATAAAAATAAAAAATTGATTTTAAAATAAGTTCAGAAAAAAACTGAATATGCAATAGATGTCAAATAATTATAAGACAGGAATATAAAAAATAAGAAAAATCACGTGTGAATGAAGAATAGGGTCCAAGAGATGTCTGCATGTTCACTGCAGTGCTATTCACAACAGTCAAGACATGGGCACAACCTAAGTGCCCATCAGTGGACGAATGAGTAAAGAAAACGTCACACTCAAACACATAGGGGAGTATTATTCAGCCAGAAGAAAATCCTGCCATTTGTGATAACACAGATGGACTTTGAGGGCACTATGCAAAGTGAAATAAGTCAGACAAAAAAAACCAAATACCCTATGATCTCACCTATATATGAAATAGATATATATATGTATGCATATATATGTGTGTGTGTGTGTGTATATGACTCAGATACAGAGAACAAGAGGTGGGGGGGGTGAGTGATATGGGTGAAGGTGGTCTACAGGTACACACAGCCAGTTATAAAATAAATAAGTCATGGGGATGTAATGTACAGCATGGTGGCTACAGTTAATAATACTGTATATTTGAAAGTTGCCAAGAGAACAGAACTTAAAAGTTCTCATCACAAGAAAAAAAATAGGGGACATATGTAACTAAATATATGAAGAACTAATAAAAATAGTGTCCAAGCAAGAAAAAATATATATATATCATCTTTCTCAAAGAAAGATGAGTAGTAGTATATAACCAATATAGTCAGGATAACACTCCTTAAGGGCCCTGAAAAGTTAGAAGTACACAAAACCACAAAACCACATAATCAAACTGTTTAGGAGGACATTTGTGATAACAAAAAAAAACACGTTTTAATGTAAAAAAAATTGATTAAGGACAATAAATTATTTTGGGGATTCACGACCAGAAAGGCTTTCATAAAATTGTTGGCTGTAGACAACTTTTCTACAACTTTTTGTTTTCTGAATATTTCCAGTAATAAAGAAGGAAAATATCTTTCTGGGAAGTACAATTCCCCACAGAGGTAATAAGTTAGATAACCTCATAAAGTTATTTTTTGGTCCTAAGCAACATTCATAAGAATTTATATTCTAAGAAATTCTAGGCATTACTATTATAGCTAAAAATGGATAAATTCTGATAACTCTAACATACTCCTATTTTTTTCACTCACCTGTATTTTTTAGCCAGATCATCCCTTTCTGCTTTCTGTTTGGCAAGCACATTATCCATAACCTCTTTTATCTGTAACATCTTTTCAGTGTATTGTTCTAGAAACATGGTAATAAAGTAAAAAATCAGTTAACTGAGAGATAAATGTTCAATTTGGTCACACAGGACTTAGCCTTACTGATCATTTTTAAAAGTTATTATTTCCTTATCTCTTCTCCAATATCAATGGTCCAGATATATACATCAAGGTTTATTGACTTATGTCACCCTATGGAAGTACCCTAAAGTGTATAGGTAAGAACACTGTCAAGGAAGAACCTGAGTTCTAATCCTGCTACCCCACTGACTAAAGTCAGTGAAACTGGGCAAGTCACATGACCTCTACTCTCAGCTTCCTTATCTGTGAAATGAGGGGAGTAAAGAAAGATAAATTAGGAAGATGAGTATTTCGCCTGTTAAAATTTACTTTTTAAAATACAAAAAATAGCCCGGCTGGGCATGGCTCAGCGGTTGAGCATCGACCTAGGATCCAGGCGATCAGGGTTAGATTCCCGGTCAGGGCAAATGCCCGGGTTGTGGGCTCGATCAAAGACTCTCTCATCATTGATGGTTCTGTCTCTCTCTCTCTCCCTCTCCTTTCCTCTCTTGGAAATCAATAAAGATATATTTAAAAACAAAACAAAACAACAAAAAACTCTAAAAAAAATAAATAAATAAAATAAAATACAAAAAATAAATTATTATTGTAAAAAATAATTTCAAACACTATGAATGTTTACACAGAAGAAAAGTCAGAGTAACCCACTTACCCCCGTGCATCACCTCTATTCTACTTCATGTAAGAGACTGCTGTTAATACTTTGGTAGTAGTGTATTTATTTGTGTATGCACATTAAATATATTTATATAATGTGTTGTTCTATATGTTTATACTATATAGAACAATACATTATATGTGTTTAAAAATAAGAATTGTGTTATCTATCAGTTCTTGCTCTTTACACTTAACACTTAAATAGGGCTATATGAAATCGAAGGTCACTTACAGACCTATATAAAATACGTTTCGTAATAACTACTTAAAATTTTCCTTTCTTCCATTGCCTCCCAAATAAAGCATCATGCACTCCCCCAGCCCCATCATAAATCCACAGAATTTACACATAAATATCGATTATGTCCAAATACAGAGTCCCAAGTGGGAAATTGAAAGGCTTAGATTTTCTTTCTTTTAAGCTCCTTGCTATTCATTTCACTTTTGACTTTGTTCCCTTATGTTTTTGCCTAATTTTTTAGACCAATGCATATTTTTCTAGATAATTTAACTAGAGAAAAACAGTGGTGAGAAATAACATGAAGTTCAGAGTTGGAATTACTTCCAGAACCTGCCTTTGCAAATCAAACAAGTGATTTGATAAGTATACAATCAGAGTAGTTTTGTCTCCTCAAAAGGGTTGGTTTCATAGTGTGATGCCTGTGCTAACAAAGGGGAGAACCGTCTGTGATCATTAAGAATTTAGATATACATTTGTTTAGCAGACTTGGTACTGATATTTACATTATCTACGTACCCTGTTACACTGGTTTTCTTTTTTTTTTTTTTTTTTAATATATATCTTTATTGATTTCAGAGAGAGGAAGGGAGAGGGAGAAGGAGAGGGAGAGAAAGAGATAGAAACATCAATGATGAAAGAGAGTCATTGATCAGCTGCCTCCCGCAGGCCCCCAACTGGGATCCAGCCTGCAACCAGGGCATGTGCCCTGACCGGGAATCGAACCACGATCTCCTGGATCCTAGGTCTATGCTCAACCACTGAGCCACACCCGGTCAGGCCACACTGGGTTTTCTAAATGGATTTTAACCCCCAGGTAAAAATAACATTATCATAGTAACCTAAAAGATTCTTATAAAAAAGGATATAAGGATATTTACATGCAACTTGCTAGTTATTTATCAAAGAGACATTAATCAATGGTATCCTAGAAAGAACCTAGAAATTGCCCTAATATGTATAAGGTTTTAATATATGATAAGGTATTATAAAACTGTGAGGATGAGAGGAATTAGTCGACAAATAAGAACAGGAAAACTCTATGGGGGAACCCTATTCTATCCTTACCACATGTGAAAAAGAGATTTTAGGTGAATTATACAGTTAAAATGCTTACGAAAAAATAACACAAAATGTTTAAAATGAACATTTTTCTGCTCAGTTAAACTGAGGCGCTAGAGGTATCTGATAGCAAAGTGAATGCAAGACATCTGGGATTCATTACTCTTGGATCCCTCAGCCTGACCAAAGATATAAAAGGTGTCAGAATATGGAGATGATAAATTTGCAAAGATACTTCTTTAGAGAGCTGCTGCCTCACTGGGTGGAATCTCCATCCTGAGCAGCAAAAGTGAGAGGTGAGGGGGCTCCTCCCCTATATCTCAAACCTAATGGGAGCAGTTTCTCAGAGGATTGTTGGGAGCATAATAACTTTCAGTTGAGGTGATAAAGGATTCACATCTGGCTTTCTCCTTGAACATCTAGAGGTTGAGACCTTCAAAAGCAAGGAGTTTCCACAGCAGGGCAGAAAAAGCTGCTGCTGTGTTGGAACTGTCCTCCCTTCCAACAGTAGGACCAGGATGCCAGCATCCTGAAAACTTGCTGTGGAGCCTGTCTTATGATCTTGCCTATGAGGGCTTCTACTTGAGGGCAATTAGATGCACAAGATATTATAAATGCTAAATAAAATATATGAGCCATACAGTTTTCTGGGGGGAGGTGTATAAATTATTTTATATTATTTTCTTCAAAACATAACATGTACTATGTATTAGGTCAGGATGAAAAGTAGAATGGGTATTTAAAAATAATAATAATAATAAAAGGAAATTATTTTTAAAAATCATCACTGCATGAGTTAGTACAAGAGATGAAGTAATAGTTGTATCCTGTTACACAAAAGATTGATGAGGTACTTTAAATTACTTTATTTTTAGCTAATTACTTTTCACATTCAGATCTGCACCTATCAGGAGCTACTTTCTATCTTGTAAATTGTAACACAAGAAAACATAACTGTGAGCTAAAGGTTTGCAAATATTCACTGAAGTTTTGAGAAATTAAGATTATTAGGTTAGAAATCATTCTAATTTACTAATTTGAATTACTAGTGTTTTGTAAACAGGAAGGTATCCATGCAGTAAGACATATCTGCTCATTTGCTCTGCTGTGTAACCACTACACATTCCTTTTCTAATTAGTTAAGGGTTAATTAGGTGAAGCGGAGGAGCCAAGAAGTAACACAATCTTATCTCTAATCACCAGCTTATGCTTTTCTCACATCTTCATCTAAACATATTAGCAGTAGCAGCTTATTCTGATCATGGTTCTGAGTATCTCTCAAATTACTCATGCTATACCTTGAGTCTAAAAGTATCTTTATCAACAATTACATCTACTACTGGTTTGCATCATTGACTTCTAAGAATCATTCCTAGCACCTTACTCTTAAATTAAAAAAAAAAAAAAGCTAATTTTTCAGTCACTGTGAGCTTTGAAATAAAAATGTGCCACAGACAGTAAGGTAGCAGTGACTCAAACTTGATTATGAGTCCATATTTACCTGCATCTTCGGGGGTCCTTATTTCAAACTCCAATAAATTTTCTTGTTTTTCTTCTATGTCTTGTAGAATGGCACTGATGGTCTGATGCTATCACATAAAAATATTAAAACTTCATTATAACAAAGTAGATGTTTCTCTCTGATAAGCAATTGAAAAATGCACAATAAGTGCTAAAGAGCCTGGCCGCATGGCTCAGCGGTTGAGTGTCCCCCTATGAACCAGGTCACCATTCAATTCCCGGTCAGGTTTCAGACTTGATCCCCAGTAGGGGGCATTCAGGGGGCAGCCTATCAATGACTCTCTCATCATTGAGGTTTCTCTCTCTCCTTCTCCCTACCTCTCTATGAAATCAATAAAAACATATTTTTTCAAAAAAGTACTAAAGAAACTGCTGTAAAAAATACTCATTTCCTTTTATGTTCAAAATGTACTCATGCTTTGTTTAACCTTAACTGTATAAATACTGCATATCTAAGGGAAAAAATAAACAGTATATCTTGATTTAAGTAGCAGTTCTATTCCTGGAAAATAGAATGTAAGAGTAGCAACCATATAAAGAATCATAATTTTTCATTGACTTCTGTTTTAATTATAGGTATAGGAGAAAAAAAACAACTCAGCACATAATATTTAAAGATAACATATATGCAACAAGTTCACTTTAAGGCTTTATGGCTATCATTGCACCCTATTAAAATATCACACATAATATTAGAAATACAAAACACTACTTTCAAAAACTCACAAAGGGGATTTAAGACCACGTCTTTATATTCGTCAATATTAATCTTCCTTCCTGGAATGTCTTCAACTTATTCTGCCCAGACCCCTCTCTTTTTTATGAGAGACGGAATCATAAAAGTGAACTCTTGAACCAAACTGCCCGGGTGTGAATTCTGACTCCACCTCTTCCTGGCGGGGACTCCAGCAAGTCACTTATCCTCTTGCTTGAATTGAGTAACATGTAAAATGGTTAGGAAAGTGCCAGCACAAAGTAAGATAGCTCAATAAATACTGATTATTATATAAAATCCATCTCATACAAAAAGCCTCTTAGTAATCTAACCCATACTGATTTTTCATTTCTCAGAATTACTTAAGAATTTCAGTGCTACAGAATTAAGTATTAATATGTATATCTTACACATTATATTTCTCCAACAAGATAACGAGATCTTGTAGGCAGGAGCATGGTTTTTCTATTTACATGTGGTTTCCACACTGTTGGAGATACAGTTGTTGCTCAATCAATGACAACTGATGGATTGACTCATATTATCTATCCTTTAATATATTCTCAATGCACATTCATTTCTAAAACATGTGGGTACTCAAAGCCTTCTGAAGTATGTTGCTCTGAAATTTTACTTGGTGTCTAGAGGGATATGGAAAAATGCACAGAATAAAGCCATCCAATTATGTGGAAAAGCAATCTCATTGCTGTCATTTATAAAATGAATCAAAACCAAACTATAAAATATAAACATGCAAAACAAATTTTAAAAAATGAGATTTATTTCTTTTACATTGAATGATTATGGTTATAATAGCAAACTAAAGGACTGAATTTGTGCCCAGGTTAAACCTCTACCTACAGGTTCGGGTAAAGAAAACAACTTCTGATGCTGACTTTCCTTTGTTTGCCTTATGTTGTGGATGCACGTAGTCTCGGCCACCATTGGCCATAAGCTTTCACTCCACACTAGTTCCATATTCCATCCTGAAGGGTCCAGCACAACCTTCCCTCCAAGACCCCCCTTCTTAGTCCTTCATTATTGCTTCATTATCTTTTTTTTTTTTAAAAACACCATACCAACCTAGGATGTGCATTTGGAATAAGCAGCTTTACACAGTTTATATTCTGCTTACTATAAAGCTTCACTATAATTTTATTCCAGGTTTACTATTTCTACTATGGCAGGATCATCTATGCCTCTGACTACTCTCTTAAATTTTGTACAATATGGCACAGTGATGAAGAATACAGGCTCTGGAGCCAGACTGCCTGGAGTTTAATTCTGGCATAGCTACCAAATAGAAATACAATTTTGGATTAAGTTACTTAACCTCTCTTACTTTAGCTTCCTCATCTATAACAAAAAAAGTAATGATAATAACAGAACCTACCTAGAAGGGCTATTACAAGGACTAAGTGTGGTAATATAGTACTTAGTGGACAGCTTGCTGTACGATAGGCTCTCAGTGGAAGTCAATGATAATTGTTATTATTTCTGTACTTATTTTATCTGAGGGTACAGAAGGAGGCTGCCTACGTGCTGTGACCTGAAGGTGGTGCCAACTAAAATCATCTCATTTACATTGTATGTGGTCACACGGTGCCCACCATCCCCAATTTGGTTTGAAATTTCCAATATTCAAAACCAATTTTACATTTAAAGTCCTCACACTTCTTTTGAGCTTTCTTTTTTGTAAAGCTCGTTTTCTTTAGACTGCTATACCTCCATTACATTTTCTCTAAAGGTTGGCATCTAAAACAATATACATTTTTCCTGAAGCAAAAACCTATATAGTTAACAACAGAGTAGTTTTTCATGATGTTCTAAACTTTACATGAAAATATACTTTTAAGATACAATATGGTGTAAACACTGGACAAAATACAAGCTTTAAACGAACACACACACACACACACACACACACATGCACACACAGGGCTAAAAATGGAAAAAGAAAGGAAAATTCCCTGGTGCCAGAAATTAAGCTAGCAGTGGCCCATGTGGGCTTTGGAACAAACATAGGTTTTAGGGGGCTAGGTTTTTAATGCTCGTACAGGACTAGGAGATAAGGCTTCAAGCCCGCATGCGGAGGGAGTTATAATGGAGTTCCTGCATAAAGCTAGTGGCCCGGAGCGGGTGCCCTGTGGGTTAGATAAGGATTAGAAAAACCTAGTTGTCACCCATCCAGGCTTTAGGCACAAAAGTAGAAACGTACTTTTGTCACACATGTATATAAGAACTAAATTGATACAACATGTGGTTCAGGAAATCAAACGGAGAAACTGGAATAAAAATTGGTGTGCAACTGACAAACCTCTAGGGCCCCAGCAGAAGCAAATGTTAAACAGGAAGCCTAGACTCACCAAAATTCCCACAGTAAACAACCATCACTGAAGTCAGATTACAATAAAAAAAATTACAAACCACATGAAAAATCATGTTATGAAAAAGAGTCAGGAGGAGAGTTTAAATTCCTTTAAAAATGTTTGGGAAAGATTTTTTAAAATGCTATCAATATCATAAGGCAAGAGCAGAAAAGTCCTTTTTTCTTTTTAAATATATCTTTATTGATTTCAGAGAGAGGAAGGGAGAGGGAGAGAGAGATAGAAACATCAATGATGAGAGAGTCATTGATCGGCTGCCTCTTGCACGCCCCTGACTGGGGATCGAGCCTGCAACCCGGGCATGTGCCCTGACTGGGAATCGAACCCTGATTGCCTGGATCCTAGGTAGACGCTCAACCGCTGAGCCACGCCCGGCTGGGCTGTTTTGTTTTCTTTCTTTATTTTTTTTTGGTTTATCCTCACCTGAGGATATTTTTCCCATTGCTTTTACTGAGAGAGAGTGAAAGAGAGAGAGGGAGAAAGAGAGAGAAAAACATCAGTCTGAGAGAGACACATCAATTAGTTGCGTCACAAACATGCCCCAACCAGGGGTGGGGAGTGAATCTGCAACCCAGGTACGTGCCCTTGACAGGGAATTGAACCTACAACCCTTTGGTGCATGAGCCAGTGCTCTAACCACTGAGCAACACTGGCCAAGGCTGTTTGTTTCTTTTTCAAACAAATATCTGAAAAGGAAACAATTTCTAGAAATAAAAAAGTCATTAAAATTAAAGACTCAAGGTTTGGTTGAATAGATTAGAAATATTTGAGGAGGAAAATAATGAACTGAAAGAGAAATCAAAGGAAATCACCTAGAATATAATACAAAGAGTTTAGGACATGGAAAATATAAAAACATATTAGGAAACATGGAGATGGGCCTAAAAGACATCTAAATAGGAACTACAAAAAAAGGGAACACTGAGAACAGAGGAGACGATATAAAGAGGAGAAGATATAAAGGCTGAGGGTATCCAGAATACAAATGAGAAATTGTCTTCAGATTAAAGGAGCATGTCTAGTCCTGACTATAATGAATAAAAACACATCCACATTTAGAACATAAAAATATAATAGAAAAATCTTAAAAACTGCAAAATTAGCCCTGTGGTCAGTTTTGCTCAGTGGTTAGAGTGTCAGCTCACGGACCAAAGGGTCATGGGTTCAGTTCACCATCAAGGGCACATATCTTGGTTGCAGGTTCCTGTCCCCGGTAGGGGGGCATGTGGGAGGCAGCCAATCGATGTGTCTCTCTTGGAGTGGTGTTTCCATCCCCTCCTTCCTCCCTTCCACTCTTTCTAGAAGTCAATGGAAAATAACCTCAGGTGAGGATTAAAAAACCAAAAAACTGCAAGATTAAAAGACAGATTATCTACAAGGAAATGACAATTTGATTGACATTTGACTTCATTTCTTACAACAGATACCAGGAAACAATGCAAAATATTTTCAAAGTGCTGAGGCAAATGCAATTTAGCTTTGAATACCACTTAAAATATCTAAGGTATAAATTAAATGATTAATCATAATTTGAGATTTCTCTACACTAACAGAAAGTATCCAAGAAGCCCAATCAACATACATAGTCTTATCCAAAATAATATTTCATTGAGAGTGCTACTTTGCTTAAAATGTTAGGATCTAGTACACTTTGTGTTTTTGTCAAAGTGAGGATATATATCTTAGCAATTAATAAATATTTTAGTGAGCAACTATTATGTTATTTTTGCAAAAATAAACCTTTATATGAAGGGTTTCACATATAGCAAACACTATCACTGTAAACCATGTGGGATCCAGGTTGGCTAAAACAGATTTTCCTTTTCTCTGTCTGAATTTGGGGTCTTTTCTACCTAGTATGTATCCTAGATACTTTCAGGAAGTGGGTGAATAAAGACACACTATGACTGTGGAAGTGTCTATGGGACAAGTAGTCAAAGAACCAAACCTAAGTATAAAAGACAGTAGCTAATTTATATTTCTTAATCAATGCAGATAACTGAGAATTAACAACATATCTTCTTGGCTTCTTCTGTTCAATTATGCTCTATTTTCTTATGACAAAAAACATTTTCAACCTGCATGCTCTTAAAAATGGAAAGAGTGCTGTCAATAGCCAAAGTTTGGCTGACCCAAAGAATGACATTTTCTAGGCTGAAGAACAAAGGATTTCGACTTCACTCACCCTATGAAGGCGTCCTCTTGTTCTTTCTTGGTGTGAAAGAGAAGGTGGATCAACAGTTTTTAAGTCATCACAAATGCACGGTTTGTGTCTTCTGGACCGGACAGTAGGAATTTTTACTTTAAAAAGTAAAATTAGAAAATATTAATAAGAATGTGCAAAAATTTAGCTTCATTTTATCAACTGTAATTGATAATATTAATTGATAAAATAAATTTTTCCAGGAATGGATAAATTAAACATACAATTATTATAATATATTGATGTTGGTCAACACCTTAGTATTTATTATCAATTGACTAATTATAGGTAACATTTACTGAATACTTTTCACATGCTGGATATCAAACTCTTTCCCTGAATCTTCATATGAGCCCTGTAAGATAGGTAGTTTATTATATCCATTTTACAGAAGAGAAAAGTAAAGCTTAGGACTCAGGAAGTTGCCTAATTGTCACACAACTGGTACTGAAACCAGATCTGACTCCAAAGTCCAGGCTCTTAATACTGTGACTATGATTCATTGTCTCTGTAAAGTTCTCTCTGACCTTTCTCCCAATCTAGATTCCCTTTTTCCATATAACCATTGTATCCATTTGGGGGTACCTGACCAAGAAAATATGTACACAAGAAACAACAGACAAGTAGGAATAGATATAGCATTTTATAACAGAGTGCCCAATAACTCCAATGCAAAGCTTCTCTTAAGCTGAGCTGATATAATTCATGGGACCCAAACCTTCAGATATGGCTATGGATGGGGCTCTAAAAGAGGCCCTGATCCTATGGACTTACCATATAGTTGCAGGCTATGAAGAGCCGTGTATCAATCTTGACCTTTTCCTACACGAGATTTAGCTTACTAGTAAACTATGACACAATGATTACCCTTGGCTCTAACCAATCATATCAATAATATGATTCCTCTCTTGACAATTAATAGTTGGTAAGAATAGTGGTAGGCTGGGGGACAAATGTGTGACACACTCTTCCCAACATTCTCCCTCATAGAGAGCAAGGGCAGAGTATGTCCCTGGTATCTTCTTCTATGAGTCAAGGCTCAGGCATAAGGGAAGAGGTAGAACAATTCCTTCTCCTCAGCACTTAAATTGTGTTGAATTGCCTGTTTTCTGGTTGGTCTCTCTACAAGACTGGAAGCTTGTTGCGGGTGAGTGCCTGGTTTGCATAGCATATACTTAACAAATATATTTCCTAAATCAGTGTTTACTTAATGCATATTTCTTATAGATAATTCATTATATTATTTCAATTCAAACAACTATCATAAAATGGTTCATAAATTTTGCCTGGATGTACATTCCCTTGAAATATTTTTTTCACTATTATATTACATACATACCCATATATTTGCTTAACAAACTCATATTCTAGCATTAGAATATTACATTCTTTAAAAGCTGGCATTAGTCCAACTTTTATATGAATCATTACAAATTTTGTAGTGAAATCTTCACTGCAAAGAGTCTAGTAGTATATTACCCTTCTCCAGCCCCACTGTAAGTAAACCAATCTGTATTGTTTTAGTTACATCTCTATGTCAGGCCCCATGTTAGGGAGATTGACGTTTGTTTAATGAACGGTATGGGTTTTATTTCAACATGTAACTCCAAATCCGATAGGATCATATGATTTATAAATTAAACCAAGTTTGGAAATGCTACATTCTAAAAATAAATATTTTTCAAGAGTTTAATAAACATACAAAACATCTATCCCCAGTTATAAAACAACTTACACTACAACTATAAAGACTTTATTTTTCTAAGCAGAGGTATACACTGTTATAAAACAGTAAGCAATACTGACAATACATACCAGTGGCTATAGCATTACTCTCATCTCTATTATCAGTCTCAATAGCACCATAAGATTTTAGCAGCTCTTTCATTTTTTCATCATCTGCTTCATCTAAAGCAGTCTTCTGTTTTTGATTCTTTTGATTAGGGTTTGCTCCATGTTGCAGTAGAATCTCAGCTGCCTAGAAGGTATTTTTCCAAAGTTATCTCCATTGACACCTTAGATCAGTAATTTCTCTTTCATTACAAAACACCATTATCAAGCATTAAAAGTTATCAGAAAGAAATTTTTCAAACTGTGGCCAAGAACATTTTTATTAAATTTGATTTGACAACTCCAAGTCGACCTACTGATTGGGCCTGATTTGTTCCCACAGCAGAACCAAACATGATGGCATGAAGCACCAGATATGCTGCCCTGACTGCAGTGAGAGGCAGACACAGGTAGAGTGTGCAGGTTTCATTTGATCTCTTTAACAGGGCCCGTTGTCCTCCTCCCCCAAGCTGCTGGGGCATGGGGTGGAGAAGGAAGCAAGAATCACGTCAGCATACATTATATTATGAACTGTATTACAAACTAGTTGAATAAAGTTTTATTTGGACTATATTTCAGGAAACCTGATATACAATCTAATAATGTCTATGCAAGTATGTGTCCTAAATAACTAATTTATATTCACAAAATGTTAAAGATAAAAGGAAACTTAGGAATAATCTACTCCAACTCCATCATTTTATAGAGGAGGAAACTGAGGGCAGAGACTGTGACATTTTGGGGGCAAAACAATCTTTGAATATAAATAAGGTTTCTCTGAATAACTCAAAGTTATGTATTAGAAGTCAGCTTTTAACGGATCAAAGTTAAAAATGGTTACTAATTAGTTTATGGTATAAGTCAATTAGTAAAAAACAGCCAGTGATTCCCTTGCATGAGGCAAGCAAGTGACCCCAACCACTGAAAAACCTTCTAAACAGTAAAAGATGGTCAGGATTTTGTTTGAACAGAGATATGCTGGTGCTAGTAGCTTTTCTTTTTCTGCTTGTGTTCAGGGATGAATAAGCAGAGAACTTTAGGAGTCAATGGGCTGGCTGAAACCATCAGGATAGCCCTTTATTTGTTCCATCAGCCTAGAGAGCACAGCATAAAGGAAAAGACATTTACTTTAAAGTCGAGCATATTGAACTCACTTCTGCTACTTACTGGCTGTGTCCTTGAGCAGTTTACTAATCATCTGAATCTTGTTTTTATCACCTCTGAGGATTAAATGTGAGCTCTTGTAAAGTATCTGGCACACAGTGGCCTCTTAATGAAACTAGTCCCCTAATCCTAACCCCTTTTCCTTCAGAGAAGTGAAAAAGACCAACTAAGGTGATAAAAGAGGAGATAATGGCATATGGGAAAGGTCTCCTGCAAAAGTTTTTTATGAAACCTACATATATACATCTTAGTGAAGTCTGAGTAAAGGTATTTTATTTTAGTTTTTAAAAGACTGGTGAGCAGTGCCTCAACCTGTAGGCTCTATGTCCGAGTGACACTAAAGCCACCTGTGGGATAATGTGATGAAGAGACAGCGGCAAATGAGTCATTCAGAAATACATTAATTTTCCAATCATTACACAATGTCTTCATTTGTAATTTTAAGGTTTTAAAAATAATTTGTTTTAAGGAATCACTTTAGTTCTTAAAATATCTTTGTTTTCTTCACTCATTTTTCTAAGGAAGAGGAACAGGAGCCGAACCTGACGTGCTCTGTACCTTTAAGTGATTATTCGCAGCAGCAGCATGTAAGGGCAGAGCGCCATCTGGGTTTTCACAATTGACATTAGCGCCTGCTTTTAACAACTCTGCAACTACATCATTAGATCCCTCACTAGACGCATTATGTAGTGGTGTCCAACCTAAGAAAGGAAAAAGGGAAAAAAATAAAACAAGCTGCTGCTGACATATATTCTTTATTAAATTTCTTTGCACTAATGGAATTAACATCTATATTGATTCAAATGTATATATTAGTGGAAAATAAATAATATTGAAAACTGTGGCCTTAAAATGTGTTTCAATTTTAAAAACAAATTGACCTCATAAAAAATATTTGTTGCTTTAAGTGCCAAACCAGAGGGATCACAGAACATTAAACATAATGGGACCAGAGTAAATATTAACTGTGTCAATTTGTTTCAACGCAGATATTAAAATACAGTTAAGATCATGTCTGACTATTCTACTTGTGTCCTTCCACTGTTACATTTCTCTTGTGAAATTACATGTGATTCCATCAGTTTTTGAGTATTTCCCTCCGGAATTGTTCACACAAGATTCTTTTGTGCTGAGCAAAATGTGAGAAGATCAATTTAAAACTGGAGGTTTAAAATAAAAATAAGGGAGGGGAGAAGAAAGGAAGAGTAGAAAGAGAGGAGAAGAAAATGGGACAACTGCATTCCTCCAAAGTTAGGGAGTGGCATCAGGCCCCTAAGGAAAAGGCCTCAGCAAAGCCCTTCCCCACTGTGTCCTCTCACTGAGTGCTCCCAAATGCCTGTGAAAGCCCTTTTGAAGAAGGTTATTTGAGCAACTGGTGGGAACCAAGATAAATCTTACTATTCAAGTAATATATTATTTTTTTTTAAAAGATTGTTCAAAGTTAGCTGTTACATAGTCGCCAAATTCAAAACTGGGTTTGGAAGCTGTGAAATGTGTATTTTAGTGAGTTCAAATTATAAACACAATTAAAATTAAAAAAATCCAAACCTGCATTATCTTTTAGATTCACATCTGCTCCAGATTCTATTAGAACTCTCATCAAAGACAAATTCCCTCTTCTGGCAGCCAAATGAAGTGGGCTTTCCCCTCTGGCATTCCTCTTATTGATCCCACCTGTTTTCATTTCTGTAAATTTGCCAAGCAAAACTGAGGCTGCTTTTCTGCCAAATGCTGATTATTAAAAAGGAACTTAAAAAATACATACCAACTTCCTCAAAATATCCTAAGTAGGGTACACTACACAGAAACATACATCAATTAATATTACCATGACTGTTACTGCTTTAAAATATAACTGAAATGCCATTCTTCAACATGTGAAGAATTATAGGGCATTTAAGCGCATTACATCAAATTCACTCTAGCAGTTGTTCAGTCACTCTATCATATTCTTGATTAAGAAAATAAACTTGTTTCATTTCTATACTCATTTCATCCTCAGTAGTCTTTTAGCAATGGATAAATGAACTGTGAATTGTGATTTTATAAAAACTCCGTTTCTACAGCTATTCTCCATCTCAATGGGTCTGTTTCTAATCACATAAGATGCCAAGAACCAAACTATGGCCTATAGGTTTATTATTATTTTTTCATAAAAAATGAAGTACAGTATCATTATTTAAAGATTCTTTCTAAAATCTTTTCCTTTCAACACAAGTTAGATGTGGACATATGTTTTGAGGAGCCACCATTCAACCCACTACAGGAGGAATATATAAGAAGGGATTCAGTTTACATAAGATAGGGCGAATGGGAGAGGGTTCACAGAAATGCCTAATCCAGTGTCCTTCCTACCTCTGGTATACTAGACAGGAGAGGAATCAACTTTTCGATGCTTAATATTTAACTCAAAGTGGTCCAGCCTTTTGTTCACCACAGAACTAGCTCCAAGAAGGGTAGTTAGCTTTTCCAAACACATACAGTTCATTCATATGACACAAAGAAACTAATGGCTATGCTTTTTAATTTTTCCTATGTTAAAAGGGTTCAGTGGAAGTATCTAAGAGATGTGACACAGTTCACCCCCACTGCCCACATTCAATATTCTTGCTGTTTACCTCCTCTAAAATAAAAAATTAGAAGTCAGAGGCAGAAATATTGTAAGAATATATCTGAAAACTAATAGATTCTCAAGTGTTACTTTTACAGTAAAACCATCTAAAATGTAGTTGAAATAATATAATAACATAGTGAATGACTAAAAAATAAACAACTAACTCTGAAAGTTTATAAATGTTCTAAAGTATAGTGGATTTCTGGGCTTGACCATGTAAATATTTACCTATAAAATACAGAAATACGAACCTTGGCTGCAGGTAGCTTTCAATAAACTTCGTCTTTTCTTGAAGTTCTGAACTTTATAGTGTTCTTGGATGTTAGCAGGTATGTGAATTTCTGAATCTGTTTTATGTTTTTTCTCCTCACAGTTCCTTACAGTGCTTTCCTCTCCACTGATATTATCAGTTAATTCCACATCTGAAAAACGAACATTGTGTAGGATCAGTGTGGTACTTTTCCTTATTGGTTAATGACTAGAAAAGAGTCTAGTCATGTAACTGTTCCAAGTTTCTGTTCCTAGCTGGACTGTGTTTTTTTTAAGGGAATGGAAGACCTTAAAAATGTTTTTATATAACAAATTAGTTTGATGCATGTAATTCTGACAGGACTACAGTGAATTGTTGAAATCACTGGAGCTAATAATTTCCTGCTGTGAAAATGTTAGGTTTCCTTTTACTAAGATAAGTTTATACTATAAATAAACATTAAAATTGATATAAATACTGTTCATTAACTTCTGTCAATATCAATTTAGCAAATATCTTTGATAATAATGGTTTGACTTTCAAAGTAAACACTATTACTTAACTAATTAGTAGCATCCCCCACATTGTAGCCCACATGTCCTCATTCTGGTCAGTTTGGGCATAGGTTAAGTGAAACTCAGTTGGAAATTTCTATAAAATAAATAAATCTATAGGAAATGTGTACAAATCCAGTAATACTACTAATACCTGGTTTGTGAGAAATTTCCTTCTCGTCTCTTTGACTAACTTGTGAGATGTTGGTCAATTCTTTACTCATATTGTCAGTGGAATGAAAATCTGTATTATGTATGATTTCGCTCTCTGGAAGATCTTGTCTCCTTTTTTCAACTTCAGTTGTTTCTATTATTTGAGAATGAACAACTGTGGATAAAGGTCCATTTGAAGAGTTTGGTTTTTGGCCTTTGTCAGTGTAATTCCTTCTAGTGCCTTCATTCTTATTCACCTTTCCCAAAGTATGTGTATCTGTTTGATCCATTAAATGAGCTGGTGTTCCGGGGCTACTACAATCCTGAGGCCTTCTGAACTGCTCCACATGACTAGTCAACTTCGAAACTTCATGTGTTAAAAGTGGTGTTGTACAAGCCAAGGAAGTATGCTCAGGATTGCTATGGGAGTGATCAAAAGAAGTTCCATATATGCACTGTTCATAATTTGCAACGTGTGGTTCAGAAACAGTTGTATTATCTGAATTAGAAAAATTAACAGCTTCCTGTTGTGGAAGTATGCTTAGGCCATCTGCTTTTAATTTATTTTCCTGTGAAAAGTGGTCTTCAGAAGGTATAAACTGTTGAAAATCCACTACTTCTCTACTTGTTATATTCTCTTGATAATTATAGTCGTTTTTGCAACCTATAGAACATGTCACTTTTTGAGAAATTACAGTCTTCTCAGAGGTACAGCCATCACCACGAACATCATTATTAAAATTTTCCCACTTATTAAGTCCCTCTCTTTTTTCATCTGAGTTACTGTTTTCATGAGGTTTATAAGGACTAATGTGCTGTTGTTCTTGGTGAGTATGAGGCTGCTGATCTGTAGTAACAACTGGTAATTTGATTTTTTTATGCACAGAAAGTCCTGAGAAAGAAATAGCTTTAGCTTGGTCACTGGATTCTAATTCTGAGGATTTTATTTCTTGACTTTCTGATAAATTCAGACTCTGGGGATGTGTCTCTTTGGGAACTGAACAAGTGTCCATATTGTTACCTAATCCATTTTCTAGGCTTGACAGAGCTGTGCTAAAAGGGTTACATGATGCTTCTGGAAGGTCATCAAGGGTATGGAGAATATGTTGCTGACAAGTAACCAATCTACTTCTTCTGGAAGAAGGGACAGCTACAGTTTTTCTTGGGTTGCTTTCTTGGATTGCATTATCCACCTGAGTCCTTTTACGTCGTGCATTTCTTCTTCCTTTACATTTAGACATATTTGTGCTGGGACCTTTGACATTATGGAGATTGTCTTTTCTGAGTACTGTAGAGTACATTTGGTTAACAGTTGATTGCTTATGCTTGGAGTTACCAAATTTCAAGCTTTTGGAATCTTTTGGGTAATGTTCATTTACATCTTCTTTCTTTAGAAATAAACCCTCTTTGCTTCTTTTATCAACTTTTACACGTTCTGGCTTCCGTCTGGTAGATTCTTCATCACAAACAAACCCAATGCAATTTTTAGAACTAAATTTTGGTTTCTATAGAAACAAAGTATATAGTTAGCTTTAATTTTCAGCTGTAGTTCTTACTCAATTCATTCTGGATTGTTCATAAATTAAACTATTACTTCATTCAATTTTACAATTTGATCTAATCACAGGGTCTGCTGGAATATATGCAACCTGATTCTTCAGAAAAGTAGACTAAGAGAAGAAAGGAGAATATAATAGACTCAGTATGTGTACTAATCTTTACTTTCTGCTGTACATTTCAATTTCTTTTTGCCAGTATTTTAGCACTATCAATCTTACTAAATATAATAAAAAATCTTAATCTACTTAATTTTTATAGGATCTTGAAATAATCAGTTTCCTTTATAAGGAAACTTTACAAGAATGCTTTAGAAACACTCTCCTTTCCCAACTGCTATACAGATAGAGCTAGAATTAAAAGAGTTTCTTCCTCTGGTATCTATGAGAGATTATAGGTAAGGCAGCAGAAGAAGGGATTTAAAAGCAAGACAGATATGCTCCCAAACTAGTCTGTATGGAAAGATTATTGTGGGCTGCTAAGATTAAAACAGAAACAACGCTTCCTGTCACTTACCACAACCCAAGCACCGGATGAAGAGTAACTGCCCACCATGTAAAGCTCGAAGGGACGGATCTACACCTTTGACACCTGCACTGTACTGTGTTTAGGCCAGAGGAAATTTGACATGGTTGATAAACCTCATGGCTCCATGAAGAGGAGGAAAAGGAAATGTCTACCAATACATTAGTGTGCCCAGATATGCTACATTTACTGCTTCCCAAATTAACAGCCCAGAACCCTCTGATTCTCATGTAATTATTCCAAAGTATCTTAAAAACAAAGGTGAAGTCACTGTTTCTAATGCATGCTTCAGTAAATTTTCTTTCCCCTTTGATGATGTATAAAACAGCCAGTGGGTGTATTACATAAAAATGCTTTTTGCTAAACAGAGATATACCTTGTGCTGGTGTGCATCCTCTACATCTAATGCGTCAGTGCTGTTTTTTTGAGCTGTAAACAAAAAGAGAAAATCAAAGAAAGCAGCCTCCAGTGGCCAGACTCAGGACTCCTAAAACCCCCAAGTCCCTTGCCATGAGAAAATCAGGTTGATTACATAAAATTATGCAAACAATTTCTATTAAGATTGGCACATATAACATTACTATAATTTCCATATGTACTAGAAACCAAATACTGTATCGAGAGAGCTGAAACCATTTCTGTGGGTAAAGCAAAATAGACCTAAAAAAGTAATACTAAAGATGGACACTGAACTCAGTATTTTTATATTCCCCACAGATATATCCAGATATTTAACTGTGTATAAGCTACTTTCATAAGGCAAAAAATTATTTCATAATTAATTGAATTATCATTTCCTAATATGTTTGCTTAATAAGGTTCAGCCTGTTCCTTTTACTTTCCAGTGAAAGAAAGAAGTCTTTTGCTCTAGAGAACTATTTATTAATTGCCTCTTGGTGGCTTTGATTATCAATGGAGTTATTTCTTTACTATAAAAGTAAGGTATTTTGATCCAAGTCTTAGTCCCTAGTCAATGGCATTCAAACAATGATCTCTTGGGGGAAATTATATATATATAAATAGAGAGCCTGTTAGGTGGCTTCTGAAAAATATTTTTAAATGGAAAGCCTGTTAGGCACCTTCTGTAAAATATTTTCTTACAAAAAAAATATACACACACACACACACATACATATATATGGTTCAATAGTTCAATAAAAGTGAATAAAGCACACATATCTCTTGAATGGAAAGAATTTGTTTTGTTTTCTTTCAAAGGACTGACACACTACTTATTCAACAAATATTTACTAAGTGCTTACTGTGTACATGGCACTCTAGTATTCATTACTAGACAAAACAAACATCCTTATCTTCATGGAGCTTAGATTCTAATGCAGGAAGACCAAAAATTAAATATAAGCAATTGTCCAATGTGTAAGATGGTGTTAAGTGCCATGAGAAAATGATATAGTAGGGTAAGAGGGATTGAAGTGTGGTGGTTCTAAAAATTTTTGATACTCTTCCATTTAAGAAGTGGAGCTTAATTTTGCTCCCCTTGAGTGTGGGCCAGACTTAGAGACTCACTTCTAACAAATACAATATGGCAGAAGTGATTGTATATCAATTCCAAGGCTAGCTTGTAAAAAACCTGTGGTTTCTGTCTTGGATACATTCTCTCCTGGAGGGCTTGCTCTGAGCCAGCTATCAGGTTGTGAGCAGCCCTATGGAAAATCTCATTTGGCAAGTAACTAAAGCCAACAGCTGACAACCAGCAAGGAACTGAGGCCTGCCAATAATCATACGAGTGAGCTGAAAAGTGGGTTTTCCTGCCCTAGTGAGCCTTGAGATGACTGCAATCCTAACCAATAGCTTGACTGCAGCCTATGAGAGACCCAGATACAGAACGGCTCAGCTGAAGTGTTCCCATATTTCTCTCAGAAACTGTGAAAGATAATAAGTGTTTGTTTGAAGATGATAAGTTTTGGGGTAACTGTTAAATCAACGAGGATAGGAAAAAGGCAGTTTGTAATATTAAGTAGGGTGGTCCAGGCCTCACTGAGAAGATAACATTTGAACTAAGACTTGAAGGGGGTGGGGGAGGCATATCTGAGAGACAGCAAAGAGGCCAGTGTGACGGAAGTCAAGTGACAGAGGTAGAGAGTGGTAGGAGAGGAGGTTAACTGGTAGGCTGGCTGGCAGGCCGTTGTGAGGATACCAGCATTTCTTCTACATTAAATGCAGAGCCTGTTAGGTGGCTTCTGGAAAGTATTTTTCTTACACAAAATATATATATAACAGATGCATTAAGAATAACATCAAGAATATGCCATACATATAATTTTTTAATTCACAATGGCAAATCGAGTTTTTTGTAGTTCAACTTAGAAGTGTAATGAACGAGAGGGTTAAAGTACAGCCATGAGAAAAGATTCTTAGGGAATGGAAATAAACAAATTTTGCTACAGTCATTGACAAAGAGACAGCAAAACATAATTTATATCACATCATGCTGTTCAGCCAAAGGATTATGGGAAGTGTCAGAACTTTATAGAAGTTCCTTAACTGTCTGCAATGTACAACCTGGGTAAAAGTGTATCAGCTATTACCTTTCTTTGTTCTTTTAGAGCCTTCTGATTATGTGCATTTGCAAACAAGTCAGTATGCTTTATTAAAGGAATGGAGAAGGCCTTGGCTGGTGTGGCTCAGCTGGTTGGAATGTCATCCCGTACACCGAAGGGTTGCAGGTTAGATTCTCAATGAGGGCACATGCTCAGGTTTTGGATTTGATCCCTGGCCGGGGTGCGTATGGAAGGCAACCATTCCATGTATCTCTCTCACATCAGTGTTTCTCTCTCTCTCCCCCTTCCTCTCTTTCTGGAATCAATGAAAAACATATCCTCAGGTGAGAATTAAAATAAGTAAATAAATATTTTAAAAAAGAATGGAGCAAGGATACCACTGGGTGGATTTTGTTTATTTATTTTTTAAAAATATATCTTCAGTGATTTCAGAGAGAGGAAAAGAGAGGGAGAGAGAGAGAGAGAAACATCAATGATGAGAGAGCCATTGATTGAGCCCGCAACCAAGAATGTGCCCTCACGGGGAATCGAACCCCAATCGCCTGGATCCTAGGTCGATGCTCAACCGCTGAGCCACGCCCAGCTGGGCTGGATTTTATATAAGGAAAATAAATTTAATTTCTATAATTCTAAATTCAATTTCTGTAACTTTCTACCAACATAATGAACAGATATAATGAGGCAGTTTAATTTTACCTGAAATAAGATGTTTTTGATGTTTAGGAACATATCTCTCAAGAAGATGCTTCATACGTGCACCTTTGGCCTCATCCAAAGCACACTTTCCATTGTCACTTCTAAATAATGGATCAGCTCCATTGAAAAGAAGCAACTCTGCCACCTAGAGGAAGATTGTTCATATGAGGGAACAGGGACAAAAGGTACATTACTGTAAATGTATGCTAGCATACAACTCTAAGCAACATCAAGTATTTCAACAACACAAAGTTTGGGTTTACCTATAATATCTTGCCCAATAAAAAAATTAATGTAATTGCCACTGAATCATAATTTGTTGATATACATATCACTTTTCTTACAAAAAATTAGAGAGTGAGGGAGGAAGGGAGGAAAGGAAGAAGGAAAAGAAAGAAGGGAAGGATGAAAAAAAGGAAGGAGAGAAAGGAGGGAGGGAAGGAGGTATTTGTATCTCAGCTGCTGGTGAAATGGGGCTAGACGATATACCAAGAATGAGGACTGGGTTCTGTAGTGGTAAATGTTACTTTAGCAGGTTCCAGGAGATAGTTGTCTTCCATCTACACGTGTGTTGCTACTATTCCCCCGAGTGTCAGGGAGAAACTGGTCAATCCTTAATCTGTTACTACTCCTCAAGTAATCTCTTCTATGAAGCTCCCTCTGACCTCATCCACTGCTGTCCCAGAGAAAAATAACCTCTCCCTTCTCTCACATACATTATTTTATTATACAACCTAATATACTCTATATTATACTTCTTATATAGCTGTCTCTCCTGTACCCTGAGTTTTTTAAAGGTGGGACTATATTTTCTGTTTAAAATTAATTTATTATGCCCAAGCAGCACAACCACAGCCCTTCAGCTGGCCGGCTTCGCGTTGCTGGAGGTGCTTGTGACTGTCATCTGTGATGTGAAGGGTGTGCCTCCCTCAGCCAAGGGCTAGGAACAGGGATGCCCTGAACTCAAGGCCACTGCTGTAGTCACGGCAACCCGCTCAATGAGTGCCAATAAGGACCAGGAGATGGAACTGGAAACATTATGTTCTATATATAAAGGAGATGAAAATGTCGGGGAATTAAGTCCAGTTTCATTTCAATATAGGGTGAAAATGGTGATCCCAAAGCCTTCTTAATGGATAGAAACATATCCCCAGACACCTCCAATTATACCTATGAATGCTTTTTTTTAACACCACCATATCCTCAGCTATAAAGCAGAGCGTATTAGCCAAGTTACAGGAAGCAGTGGAAGTTCATCTCGGCACCGCTATGACCTGCACATTGCTTGAATATGCCAAGGACAACAAAGAGCAGTTCATGGAGAATCACCATCCCATTAATTCTAGGACATCCATAAGCAATATCATTTCAGTTGAAACTCCTAATATAGCCCCATCGAGTAAGAAAAGAGACAAAAGAGAACAACTTTCAAAAGCTCAGAAATGTAAGCTGGAAGGTAAAACAGGTCATGAAGGAGAACTTCCTCCAGGATGGAACAGGGTTGCTGTGGCGAAGCATGTAAGCAAAAGAGGCTCGAGAGGTGGTGAACAGCACTTGAAATTCGAAACAAAAAGCAAACTGGGTTCAAAATCTTTTGTTCCTCTTTTCTAGTATTAGGGTGGCTTTTCATAAAACAATTTTTTTTATGTTTCTTATGTAAAAATGTTTTAAGCTGAAAATTCATGAAGAGATTTGGTTGAATTCAATTATTTTCACCAACTTGCCTTATAAAAGGTGAAAATGTTATTGTTTAGTATACTTTGGAAACCTTTCGAGCTTTATCAATGGACAAATATAGAGGATAATTAGTCATCAATGTTAATTTATATGACCTTATTCTACTGGATATGATAATTTTTTTAAAAAGAAGTATGAAGCCCTTTTCAAAAACTCCTGTCCCAGTGGAATACAATAGTGGGGTACATGCCCTTGACTGGACTCAAACCCGAGACCCTCAGTCCATGAGCCGATGCTCTAACCACTGAGCAGACCAGCCAGGGCTACACATAATATTCTCTGTAGTTTCTTCTCACTTATCCAAGGGTGAACTGCTTCTCTTTAATAAATGAATATTAGTTTATACTTTCCTCTTGGTTCGGGTCACGATGTTTGATCACAAAAGCTTTCCGTGGCATGTGGAACAGGAGAGTATAAAAACAAATCAGCCAAATACATTAGAAAGTATCTGAGTAGAAGTGCTGGTTCCCATTTAAAACATTTCTCTTCACTGCATATACCAAGATGGGAGTAAAAGATGCCTTAATATTTAATTTTTGTATTGTTGGGAGACATGTTTTGTGTTTTATATACAACAGAACTTTATTAAATGGTCGCATAACATACCCTTATTCTGCCTAATCATCTTGCAAATTTGCAAATACTGTTCCATCTTAAAAAAAAAAAAGACCAAAAAAACCCACCCTGGATTAATGTGCATCAAGGTCAGGCTTATAGTAGACAATGGTTTTAATACATTTCTATTTATGTGCTGTTGTATATTTTTAGTTGTTTGGTAACTGAGGTCTTCTAAATGATTTAACATAAAACCACATTTCAAGTTTTGTTTCTTTTCAAATGTTCAAACATATTTCTCAACCTGAGCATTTTTATAATAATAGACAGAAGTATTTCAAATGCCGAGCTGTAGTGCATGCTTGATTTTTTAAAATGATTAACAGAGGAAACTATTAGGAAACTATTAGTTTTACCAGGGAGTTACTAATGTCTTTGTATGATTTACAGTGATTGGGTATCTGCCCCATGGCCTGGAAGAGGTGGTTTGACTCTCTATAGTGTAACAGAACATATCATCAAACTTCCTAAGAAAGCTCACTCCAGATACACATGGAATGAACAATCACCATGTCTAAGGAATATTTTTTCAATATATGTGAATCCCAATACCATTGTCAACCAATCCCATACACTCATATCCTCAGGACACTTCACGAAATAAAAGCTTTGTTAAAATCGTGACAGCTTACATCAACTTGCTATGCCATTTCCTTTACCTAACAAAGTAAGCCTAATAAAAAATGAATCAAGGTTTGTCTGATATAGCTTGTTCTTAGTGATGCCTATAGATTTTCAAAGACCACAACATTCTTGTCTAAATGTCTCCTACCATGTATAAAATAATTTGTTCCAGATTTTTCTAAGGAACCACACTAAGCTAATCATCTGTAATTCTCAAATTCTACCTTTTCCACATTTAAAAAAATGTACTTTTAAGTTTTATTGACATAGCATTCACATGCTGCTCAGTTCATGTAAAGAATACAATGTTTTTTAGTATGTTAAGAGGGTTGTGTAAACATAACCATAACCTTATTTTGGAACATTTTCATTCCCCTTAAAAGAACCCTTTAACTATGATCTATCACTCACTTTTCCCCATCCCCTGCGTCCCATTCCTAATCTTCTTTCTGTCTCTATATAGTTGATCTATTATAGATATTTAAAATAAATAAAATCATACAATACGTGTTTTTAATGGCTTTTTTACTTTTAAAAAATATCATTATTATCTTTTAATATCTCCTATCTTTCAGTATCTTTCCAATATATAATCAATGCCTATAGGGCAATATATTTAAGTTCTTTCAACTCTAGAATGTTTAAGAAGCTCATACTCCCCAGGTTCCAGGTCCAGAATCAGGTTCCCAAGGGCTTCCCTATCTTGCATTTTTAGTCCTATCCCATCTAAGATATAGGAGCAATCCAATACCCAGGGCCGAGACCATTTTTCTGATCATCTTTGCCTCACCTACAAGAGTCCCTGAGGTAAGCCTAGATCCTCATCAGATGCTCCCACCATTCCTCCTCTACCCTCCAACACAGTGTCCTGTCCCACTTTGATTCTCAAGGCTTTGGTTCTTAAGTCAGTCCAGAACTAACCTGGAACTCTCTCTTGGATTGCGTGAAGTAACTTGGCTTATCCCAGATAAACTGAAGGGGAGGGTAAAAAGAAGGCCGATTATGACTTCACCCCCGACACACACACTTGATTTTAGCCTTTAATTCTCATGACCATTCTCTACACTTCTACTCCATGTCATTCTCTTATCCGGCCATCAACCAGGATATGCCATAGTGCCAGGAACATGAGTCGTACGAACACAGGATAAGGCAAAAGGGCAGGTGGTAAGTAGCGAGGCCTGTGTCTTTGGTCCCTTCTCCTTCACTGGGGGAACAAGAGCAGTTACATATCTATCAGCAAAGGCTAGAGGGAGACAGCCAGCTCTAGAAGGTTAGGTGGAAATTAGCTGAAGACTCAGCACCAGGTAAAGCAAAGGGAGAAGTGAGAAGAAAAGGAGGAAAAGTAAAGTGCTCACGTCGCCCAAAGGGAGAAAAGATTCCCAACCAGAAAAGGTCAGCTATGGCAAGAGGAAAGGAAAGAGGTATTGGCATTGAGTTCTCACTGCTGAGGCCAACTGTGAAGAGGCAGTAAAGGACAGGGAGAAGGTGCACACCATCCCATCTAAACCTGCATTCTCTGGCCATTAAATTAGGTCCCAAGCAGAATTCCCTCCTCCCAGCCCTCTACACAATGTGCAGAAATGATCACTTACCCAAAAACGCAAAACCACCTAAACTCTCCTAAAGTACTATTTCACACTAGGAAGGAATATGCCTATCTGTCTATGCCCATAGCTCCTAGCAGCCTTCCACAACTCTGTGGTAGGCATTTCTTCTCAAAGTATACAGAACAGATCTTCCTAAGCCCAGCTGATTAGCCCTCTTCCCTGTTCCAGGAGTTTTGAACCTAGGGGGAACTTCCAATACTGAAATAAATAACAAGATATTTTTAGCAAGTGCCTCAGCCCTATAATGCAGTACCTCAACCAAAAAAGGCCTAGAAAGCTTATAGCATATGTGATTTCTGAGATAAACTATGTGTGCTGGAATTCATAATCTCAATTAATATTATCCATTATTATAGTTACTATTAATCAACTCATATGGAATTACAGTATTTTGGTATTTAACCAAGGTACATCTGTGCTGGTGTGTACTGCCTGATCATTAAACCTGGGAGACCTTCATGTCGTATGCTGACTCTGACACTAGACTCTGTAAAACTGTATGCCTCCTATCAGGACTGGACATCGTTGTGTAACACTTTATAGGAGGAAACATTCTCTTAAAGCCTATAAATATAAAGCACAATACAAAAAGAGTCTAAAAGAAGTACAAGTTTTAAAAAATACCATATATAAACATAAAATGTCCTAGAGTTATTAAGAGTTATATGTAAAATGCCACCTACCATATTAGGCACAACAAATACATCACACAGTAAAATTTTAGTATAAATTCTGAATATTGATTAGCAGAATGAACTAAAACATTTCCTGCCTATTTTCCTATTGCTTGATGGCAGAGATTTTAAATACTTGCAGAATGTAGTATTTGCTCCACAAACAAAAGCATCACAGTACCTTGTAATGTCCATTCATCACAGCATCATGTAGGGGGGTGATCTGGTACATTCCTTTGATATTTACATCTGCTCCACCTTTTACTAGTTCAGTTGCTGTCTCATAAAATCCCCTTACACTAGCTTCATGAAGTGCTGTCCAACCTAGTATACAATAATGAAATGGTATTTGTTTATATTTGACATCTTAATAATGTTTTGTGCTTAGCCTTAAAATAAAAACTCAAATTCTAAACTGTTTCTTTAAAAAATATTTTTATCATATAATACAAGAAAATCTCAGCATGAAAACAATCTGTATTATTTGGTGAATTCAATAAATCTGAGGGACAAATCAAATTTCTACCCCCAACTCTGTTGCAGAAAAATATAAAAAGAAGTAAAATATTTAAAACTATTCCTGCCTTCTTCAAATAAAAAAGCTGTAAGGGTGGGTCATTATTAGCTCATAAAAAATGCTGGTTGCAGGCTACTTTTCTGTAGAGAAGAGGGGGGAAAAGCTTTATTCCTAGCTCAAGGTACTTCCATTAAAGTACACCAACTGGCAGGACCACACAGAACCAGTTCAAAAGCATACATTTCTTTAATCCTTATTTGCAAAAAGCTACTTACGGTAGTTCAACTAACAATCTACAAACTGCTCCAAGAAAACCATTCATCCAGATAAATATTCTTTTTCTCTGTTAGCCAGAGTCAATGGTATAGGTTATAGAATTTATTAAATTCCAATAAGTCAGCCCTAGCTGGTTTTGCTCAGTGGTTAGAGCGTTGGTCCAAGGGCTAAAGGGTCCTAGGTTAGATTCCAGCCCAGGGCATGTACCTCAGTTGCAGGCTTAATCCCCTGCCCTGATCAGGGCACATTCGGGAGGCAACCAATAGATGCGTCTCTCTCATATGGACGTTTCTCTCTGTCTCTCCCCATCCCTTCCCCTCTCTCTGAAAAAGCAATGGAAAAAATATCCTTGGGTGAGGGTTAAAAAAAAAAAGAAGATCCCTTCCCAGCGTGGGTCAGCGGTTGAGCGTCAACCTAGGATCCAAGCGATCAGGGTTCGATTCCAGGTCAGGGCACATGCCCAGGTTGTGGGCTAGATCCCCAGTTGGGGGCATGCATAAGGCAGCCAATCAATGACTCTCTCATCATTGATGTTTCTCTCTCTCTCTCCCTCTCCTTTCCTCTCTCTGAAATCAATAAAGATATATTTAAAAAAAAAAAAAATAGTCAAAGTGATGAAGAGCAAGGACCTACAACCAGGATTGCTGTCATTTAGAATCAAAGGTCAGATAAAGAGCTTCCCAGACAAGAAAAAAACTAGAGCTCATCACCACCAGACCAGTATCACATGAAATGTTAAAGGGTCTTCTTTAAGAAGAAAAAGAAAATATAAAATATGAACAATAAAATAGCAATAAATACATACCTATTAACAATTGAATCTACAAACAAAACAAACAAGCAGAACAGAAACAGACTCATAGATACAGAAAACTTTTTGTTGGGTGCCAGATGGGAGTGGCTTGGGGAGGGTGGGCAAAAAAGGCGAAGGTACAAATTGAAAAGAGGTACCAAAAAAAAGAAGTACAAATTGGTTGTTACAGAATAGTCATGGGGATGTAAAGTACAATATAGGGATATAGTCAATAGTATTATAATAACTAGGTGTGGGGCTGGATGGATGCAGGATTTTTTGGGATGATTACATATTAAGTTAGGTAATATCTGGTCACTGGGGTATACAAAATATGAATATAATAAAAAAAGAATTATTTCAATTGATTTTTTAAATCAAAGACATTAAAAATGCATATGAGGACCTATAAAATGCAAATGTTACCTATGAAAAGACCATTGGTTTGTTGCTGTAACATTTTGTAATTTCTCAAAAGGCACTTAAATCTTTTTTGGATTGTATCACAAAATAAATATATTTAAGGTTTTCCAGCAGATATTATTTATCTTTTTGTTTCACAGCATCTGGCACATAGGACCCCTAAAAAAGCTCATAAACCTGAACTGATATGTCACATGGAGTCATACACCTCTTGCCAGTAGTTCTTGAGCTTTAATGAGGATAGAAACCACCTGGGGAACTTGTTACACCTGCAGGTTTCCAGGTGTTAACCTATAGATTGTGTGTGAGTGTGTGACTGTGAGAGAGAGTGTGTGTGTGTGAGCGTGTGTGTGAGCGTGAGTGTGTGAGTGTGAGTGTATCTGTGAGTATGTGTGTGTGTGAGCGTGTGAGTGTGCTGGGAGCTGAAGTAAAGGTTGCATTTTAAACAAAACGTTGCAGGTGACCATGAAAATGGTTTGTAGACAGCTCTGAACACACTGCCCTCTGCGACCTGTGGGATGCAGCAGCCAGGATATAAGGGTCAGAGCTAACACGCAAAGTGAGAGGGAAGTAGGAAGCAGGAGCTGGAAGAGGTGAGGATGAAGACCTCACGAAGGTCACAGAAGTGCTCGTGCAGTGAGGGAAGTTTCATTAACTGGCTCAAGACAAGCAGGGGACAGCCACCAAGGATGCTAATGATGGCAGAGGAAAAAGGGGGCTAATGAAAAAACACAGGTTAAGAGATGCTTGGCAAGTCCACAAAGCCCAGTCAGCTGCACGTAGAGCTACTCCTGAATGTAAGGAGCAGACAGACAATAACATATTTGTCAAAATCAAGGGAGCAAGTGCTTTATCCAGCAGATAAGGACGTAAGATGGAGGGCTACAGGAAGATGGTGGTTGACGTGGGTATTAGGTTTAGGATTACAGCCTGTTTAAACCCTGATTATAGAAGAAACCCAGATCTTGCTAAAGTTAAGTACTGAAGGTGCACTTGTAATCACCTGCTTGTCCATGGATTGTGCCACTGATCTCTGCACACCATAAGACTTTTTGCACTGTTTCATAAACTGAGAAAGTCTCGACACAACAGTAAAGGTATGGACACAGAAAATCCCTATCCAGGCTAGCCCAGTGCAGCTCAGTGCCTTAAGTACTTAAGTGCCTTTAAGGCAGGGGTTTGTTTTCTGCCCGTGAAATCATTTGGTCTGACCCTGCCAAGGCAACCACAGGCAGGACTTGAAATTCAATAAATTCAATTAAATGTTTGACCAGATATAGCAGGCTAATTTTTAAGCTGATAATTATGTATGGCAGGGCCAAACCAAATGATTTCACATGCTGTATATGGCCCGCAGACCAGACATTCCCCACCGCTGCATTAAGGAATCATTCCTCTCCGGGAGAACATGTCAGATTCTCCCCACCAAGAAGACTGTACCAGACACATAGCCTTGCAGAAAGACTATGCTTTCTGAGCTCCCTGCCCAACCCTACTCATACTCTCTTCTTTCCATTTCCCTGTCCATTGCTACTGCTGTACATAGACCATTCTATCAGCTTCCCCCCAAGCTCAGTGTACCATTAGCTTCTTTCAGCTTTTCACCACATTTCTTTCCCACTCAAAGTTGAGGTGCATAGTAAGGCTGCCCAGGCAAAAGCAGCAAGCCAGCCTCAGGAACCCCATCCTCCCATGTAATGCCACTGCACACAGCCCACCTGGTGGGCCCCGGGCAGCCATAATCACTGAAGGTGAAATATGATGCTCTTCTCTTGCTCCCTCCACTTCCCTGGGAGATGACTGTGAAGAGCTACCTGTGCAGGAAAATTACCTAGAAGCTTTCTGTGTGAGATTCGCCTTAGGCTCACTTTGCCAAACTTTTATAGGAGTGACTCATCGAACACTACAAACCACTTTCAAATTAACTGTGGGTAGTAACCCCAACTTACCAGCATAACTTGGTTGATTAACATTTCCTCCTTTTTCAATACAGTGATGAACAAGATGAGTATCGTTGAGCAGAGCAGCCTTGTACAGTAAGTTCTCTCCAAAAACGTTTCTCCGGTTAATGAGAGAAAGAGATATTTTATTCAACTTCCTTTTTTCTGAAAACAGGGAAGGAACAAAAGAATACAAAAAATAATAATCCTTATTTGAAAATCAGGAGGAATACAAGTAACAGGGCGAATCCAGGCAACATTCTGGCATAAAGGTGCACTATATCATGAAAGAGTATTTCCTCCATTAACCAAACTATAACATCTACATGCAATAAGGGGAAAGAGACAAATGTTATTAGTTTGAAAATATCTGTAGAAGTTATAAATCTGAGCAGTTTATGTTGATTGAGAACCATGAAAGGTGCATATATGAGATTAACAGATTATTTTCTTAAAAGCTCTGGTGAAAAATATTATTTAAATCTATAATTAAATGTTATTAAACCCAACAAAATGTTATATAATACCAAAATGTCTTATAAAACCATGAAAAGAAAACCTAAGATATATATAAGGAAAGCACAAAAGTTAACCTCAATGAGACCAGAAAAGAGAATGCTAAATTTTCTTTCTTTGCTAAAAATAACTGTCATTAAATTAAAGAACTGTGGTCTTGATCTGTACAATAGTTTTGATTTCCTAAGCCAGGAAATATAAAATTAAAATTGTTTACTAGGTTATGCATACCAGGTATCATTTCTCCACTATGCCTCCTAAAAATATTGAAACTCATTTAGATACTCCAAATTCTGGCAATTTTTGTGGCTAATATTCATTCAGTTTCCCTGAATTTCAGAATAGTTTTGATGATAGCTTTTCCAATTTTGATTTAGCTAACCTGCCCAACCTAAAACCTCACAAAGGTAATTGAGTACTGCAGCAGATTTCTTAGTAGACCACAATTTGCCTTTTGATTACTTCTATTCTGTTCCATTGTAAAACGAACCAACTGCTGAACATTTGAACCTACCTTCCTCCACCCCAGACTACAAAGCATTACCAAAAGTCAGCAGTCTTAACTCCCATATCTGTCTTTGCCAGTAGTACTTGCTATTATAATTATGTAATTTATTTAAAATAAATTAAGAATATAAAATTTTCAATGAAAACTAAGTTGTGGAAGACATTCACTCCCATTGTAAACAAATTTCTTTTGATTGATGTGGTAGGCTAAATAATGGTCCTCCAAAGATGCTCACATCTTAATCCCCAGAACCTGAGAATGCTACCTTATATAGCAAAAAGGACTTTGCAGATATGGTTAAGTTTTGGATCTTGGAAGGGAAGAGGGAAGTGAGAAGATCAAAAAGAGAGAAGACGCCCTAGCTGGTTTTGCTCAGTGGTTAGGGCACTGGCCCTCAGACTGAAGGGTCTCGGGTTCGATTCCCAGTCGAGGGCATGTACCTCGGTTGCAGGCTTGATCCCCGGCCCCAGTTGGGGGCGTGCGGGAGGCAACCAATCAATGCGTCTCTCTCACACCAATGTTTCTCTCCCTGTTTCTCTTCCTTCCACTCTCTCTAAAAAAATCAATGGAAAAAAGATCCTCAGGTAAAGATTAATAAATAAATTTTAAAAAGGGCAGGGGGAGAATGCAATGTGACCCTAGACGCAGAGACTGGACTGATGCGGCCAGGAGCAACAGTCACATAAAATGTAAATGGTCAAGACACTCCCAATTAAAAGGCAGAGATTGTCAGACTGTCCATTTCTCTCCTCTTTATGTTACTGTCACAAGTTTTACTTTCTGCTATTTTTGTTTCCTTTAAAATTGATTAATAAGAAAAAATTGTGTATTTTTATCCATATAGTTACCATTTTTGATGATCCTCATTCCTTTGTCTAGATTCAGATTTCTATCAAATATCATTTTTCTTCTGCCTGAAGAATATCCTTTAATATTTCCCAGAGTATGGGTGAGCTGATGATAAGTTCTTCCAGCTTTTGTGTGTCTGAAACTTTATTTCACCCTCATTTTTGAAAAATGTTTTTCTGGGTATAGGATTCTAGGTTATAGTTACAGAATTTTAAGAATAAAATATCTTTTAGAACTTTAAAGCTGCTACTCCACTGTCCTCGGGCTTCCATTGTTTCCAACAAGAAATTTGATGTCATCCTATCTTTAATCTTCTATACATGACATGCCTTTTTTTCTTATCAGCACATATATATCACATATATATTCTTCTGATTTCTTAAATGTCTGAATATTATTTCATTGGTTATATTATAATTTATTAACTTCATTTTGTTTAGATTGTTTCTAGTTACTTTATGAAAACAAGGTTGTGATGAACATCGTTATAAAAGTATCTTTACATAGCTAAGCAAGTGTAGTTATGGAATAAATCACTTTAAGTAGAATTGCTGATTCAAAAGAATTGTGACTTAAAATTGTGATGAATGTAAATAAACAGCCCTGTAAAAAGACTGAACAAACTTAAACCATTCCTGATAACATATGAGAATGTTAACTTTTTCCACATTCTCACCACTGGGAATTCTCAAATGTTTAAGTATTTGGCATTCTCTTAGGTGAAAATTATACTCCTTAATTGGCATTTCTTTAATCATGAGTGAGATGTTAATCTTTTTCTGTATTTTTTTTCCTGTGAACTGGCCTTTACCCTTTTTTCATCCTTTATCTAAGCTTACTATTTTGTAAGAGCTCTTTGCATGCTAATGAAATTAAGCCCTCATCATGTATTACTAATACTTCTGTGTTTGATGTTTGGTTTTCTTTAGGTTATTTTTCCATAACAATTTTTTAAAATATATGTAATAAATTTTATCAGTCTTTTCCCTCCTGGCTTCTGAGCTTGAATCATTTTTTAAAAAGCCTTTTTCTACTCTAAGAATACAAAAAGATTAACTTATGTTTTGTTCAAGAACTTTTTCTTTTCTTTTAAATCTTGCCAAAATGGAACTAAATTTAAGCGTAAGAAATGTTACAGGGATCCAGTTTTGTTTGTGTTTTTCACTATTTATTGCTTAGTCCTTCTTTTTGCCACCAATTTGAGATGCCGTCTTAGTCACATACCTGTGCCCATACTCCCACTGTATCTGGCTTCTACACCTAAACTTTTTTTTTTTTTTTAATCTTCACCTGAGGATATTTTGTCCATTGCTTTTCAGACAGTGGAAGAGAGAGAGAAAGAGAAAAACAACAACACTGATGTGAGAGAGACACATCGATTGGTTGCCTCCCCGCCTTGATGGGGATTGAGCCTGCAACCGAAGTATAGGCTCTTGGCAGAATAGAACCCGAGACCCTTCAGTCTGAGGGCCAACACTCTAACCACTGAGCCAAACCAGCTAGGACCCTATATCTAAACTTTTTATTCTGTTTCATTGATTTGTCTGTCTACTCCTGTGCCAGTACCAAATTATTTTAATTTCTGACTTTCTAATTGCTTTCATATAATGTAGGGCCGGTTCCTGCCCCACTCTTCCTTTGCTTTTATTTTTCCGAATTTTCTTGGTTAGTTTTTCATATTTACTTTTCCAGCTGAAATTTAGTATCATATAACATTCTCATAGCTAACTTCCAACCCTATAAAGCAAAATAATTAACAAATAAAAATCTGTTTTTGATTGGGCTTTCACACGTTTACAGAATAATTTAGGGAGTGGTAAGTTTCTTACAACATTGAATCTATACTGTCAAGGATAAGGTTTTCTTTCCACTTATTCCATTTTTTTATGTCCTTCAGCATAATTTTTAAACCCTCTTTTACAGGTATGGCACATTTATTATTATGTATATAAGTATTTTTCCCTCTTTGTAACTATTATGAATAGGATGTTCTATTTTCTAACTGGGTAATATTTTATATATGAAAGGTATGTACTCTGTCTTCTTTTGGTTTACTAAATTTTTAAAACCTTTTTATTTGGAAATAATTACAGGCTTACAAAAAGCTATAAAAATAGAACAAAGGATTCACCTATTGTTAATATTTTGCCACCACTTTTAAATCATTCTATCGCCATCTAATTATATACATACACATGCACACAGACACGTATATACATAAATAGCTTGCATACACTATGTCCCATTACTCATTAATACTGAAGTGTATCCTTTCCAAAAACAAGGACATTCTTTTACATAATCAAATTATTATTAAATTCAGGGAAATTTAACACTGATAAAATATTATTATTTAATCTACAGTTCATATTTCAATTTTACCTACTCCACTATCTATTGTTTTTCAATCATCTTTGTAGATTCTTGTTTCTTTCTGATATATATATGTTTTTAATCCTCACCCAAGGGTAAGTTTTTATTGATTTTTAGAAAGGGGGAGAGGGAGAAAGGGAAAAGGAGAGAGAGAGGGAGAGAGAAACATCGACTGGCTGCTTCCAGTATGAGTCCTGACTGGGGATGGAACCCGCAATGTAGGTATGTGTCCTGACCAGGAATTGAACCCGAAACCTTTTGGTGTATAGGATGATGCTCCAACCAACTAAGCCACCTGGCCAGGGCTCTTTTTTATAGTTTTTTAGTTCATTTTTTGAGGTTTTATAGGAATACAGAAATAACATCTAAGATGAAGAATAGTAAGTTTTGTCTTCTCCTTTCCTCCATTTATTCCTTTTGGTATGATTTCTCAAAGCTTTATGCTAGGTTGGTCACATTACAAATAGGTCAGACATCTAAATTTTAAAAGGGTTCTGTAACTATTTTCTCAAAAGTACAAGTATAGAAAAAATACCAGCCTATGAACCAAAAGTTCAGTATCAAGTCCTAGTTATGCTACTAATGAGCTGTGCAATGCTGGGGAAGATCCTTAACCTCCTTGAATTTCCTCATCAGTAAAATGAGAAAGTTGAGATAGATAATCTCCATACCCTTTTTAGTACCAGAATTCTATGTTTCTGTAAGTTACTTAATTAAAGAAATAAAATATACCTCACCATTCTGTCTTGTGATTTTTCCATTTTCCCAGATCTGTTTTCTACTCTTGAGTCCAGATGAATGCATGTTCTTCCTTTTACCTTCAGTCATTAAAGCAGGGCCCTGCATTCTTGAAAAATAAATGTGTTTTAAAATTACTCTCATGTTCTCTACAACCATTCACAGAGAGCCATACCAAATTTTGACCAAATTTTTAAAACTCAAAGATATTTTACTGAGCTGGTTCAAGTAGCACAGCAGTTTTAAATATGGAGATGGCTCCTGAGCAAACTGGATAACTCTGTGACAGGTATGCTAGTCACGGTGGTTTCTAGCCTTTTCTTTGTGCCACCTGTGTGTTTTTCTCCTTTAGCGAAGTCACCTACAAGTGTATCCTGAGTCTCTTGTCCCCTCACTCTCCATGTTGACATATGACTATCCACTCTGTTCACCTTCTAGGAAAAAAGAGGCAGACCCTTTTTTTTTTTTTTTAATATATCTTTATTGATTTCAGAGAGAGGAAAGGAGAGGGAGAGAGAGAGAGAGGGAGAAACATCAATGATGAGAGTCACTGATAGGCTGCCCCCTACAAGCCCTCGGCTGGGGATCAAGCCCGCAACCCGGGCATGTGCCCTGGCTGGGAATCAAACCACGATCTCCTAGACCCTAGATCGATGCTCAACCACTGAGCCATGCCTGGCCAGGCAAGGCAGGCTCTTTGTAAAAAAAAGGACTTGCCATGTTGTATATGGCACTGATCAAAAACTGCAAAATACTGGCATAAAAATAGATACAGAGATCAGAGGAACTGAATAGAGAGCCCAGAAATAAACCTATGGATATATAGTCAATTAATTTATGACAAAGGAGCCAAGAATATACAATGGAGAAAGGATGGTCTCTTCAATAGATAGTATTAGGAAAACTGGACATCCAGATGCAAAAGAATAAAACTGGATCATGATCCTGCACCATACACAAAAATTAAAATGTATGAAAGGTTTGAGAGTAAGACCTAAAACCGTAAAACTCATAGGAAAAAAACATAGGGGTAAACACTTTCACACTGGTCTTAGCAATGATTTTTTGGATTTGACACCAAAAGTAAAGGCAACAAAAACAAGTGGAACTACATCAAACTAAAAACCTTCTGCAGAGCAAAGGAAACCATCAGCAAAATGAAAAGGCAACCTTCTGAATGGAAGAAAATATCTGCAAATTATATATCTGATAAGTGGTCAAAATCCAAAATATATAAAGAACTCATATAACACAACAGCAAATAAAAATATGATTAAAAATGGGAGAGGAACTAAAAAGATATTTTTCCAAAAAAGACATCCAATGGCCAATGGATGTACATGAGGTACATGAAAAGGTGCTCAACATCACTAACCATCAAGGAAATGCAAATCAAAACCACAGTGAAGTAACACCTTACGCCTGTTGGAATAACTATTATCAAAAGACAGAAAATAGCCCGGCCAGCATGGTTCAGCGATTGAGCATCACCCTATGAACCACGATGTCAAGGTTTGATTCCCAGTCAGGGCACATGCCTGGGTTTCAGGCTCAATCCCCAGCAGGGGGCATGCAGGAGGCAGCTATCAATGATCCTCTCATTATTGATGTATTTATCTCTCTAGCCCTTCCTCTCTCTGAAATCAATAAAAAACATATTAAGAAACAGCAAGGTGGTGAGCATATGGAAAAGGGTACCCTTGTGCACTGTTGTTGGGAATATAAATTGGAAAACAGCCAATGGAAAACAGTATGGAGGTTCCTCAAAAAAATTAAAAATGAAACTCTCATATGATCCAGCAATTCCACCTCTGGGTATTTATCCAAAGGAAACAAATACACTATCTTCAAAAGACAGCCACATCTCCATGTTCACTGTAGCATTATTTACAACAGCCAAGATATGAAAACAATCTATATTGATGTATGAATGGGTAAAGAAAATGTGGTATATATATATATATTATTCAGCCATAGAAAGGAAAAAAATTCTGCCATTTTTGACAACATGGATGGGCCTTGTGGACATTATGCTAAGTGAAATAAGTCAGACAGAGAAAGACAAATATGGTATGATCTCCTTATTTGTGAAATCTAAAAAAAACTCAAACTCATAGACACAGAGAACAGACTGGTGGTTGCCAGAGGGGTGCATGAAATGGTTGAAGGTGGTCACAAGGTACAAACTCCCAGTGATAAGACAAATAAATCCTGTATAAGGTGACAAACAGCGATGTAGTTTCATTCTTTTGCATGTGGCTTTCCAATTTTCCCAGCACCATTTATTGAAAGGCTTTATTTTCTCCATTGCATATTTTTGCCTTCTTTGTAAAAAATTATTTGTTCATATAGTGGGTTTATTTCTGGGCTCTCAATTCTGTTCCATTGGTCTGTGTGTGTTTTTCTGCCAATACCATGGTGTTTTGATTAATGCCTCTTTGTAGTATAATTTGAAGTCAGGGAGTGTGATACCTCTGGCTTTGTTCTTTTTTCTCAGAATTGCTTTGGCTATTTAGGGTCTTTTGTGGTTCCATACAAATATGATTGGGGGGGGGGG